TGGTTTTTGCGTTAAAAAAAGAAGAAAAAACCTCAATAAATATACTGTAGAATGCACTGTACTGCTCCCAGATGTACATATACGTAATTGAGAGTGCATTTTAGCTTTGCTCAGTTGGTCAAAATGTAACTAAATTGTGTAACTGAGCTGCTGTAACCCAATAGTTTCTTCTGGAGACGTCAGTTGCTGGACACTTAGGTGGACCCTCCGATGGACCTTAGGAAATTCATAAACCGAGGTCGTTTTGCTCAGCTATCCAAATTGAGAGGGAAAAAAAAGAGATTACTCAGCTGTATTAAATCCATTATTTTATCTATTTTTTTCTCTATATTTACCAGCAGTGAGTGATTGTTTTAAATTATTTTATTTTAAAAAAGAAGAAAAAATTCCATGTGCAAAATAACAAACATTTAACATGGAGGCATCTGTAATCCTAAAAGATTAAAAAGATTTAGACATGACATTAATACGGTGGAAACAAGACATCAATCCATGAGGATTAAGTTTTCACAGTTCTGTGTGTTTTTTTTCTAAACTTGCTTTGCCCCCAATGTCTTTATAATATTTAAAAATTTTAATATTATAATATCTATCATTTTTTCCCTCCTTACTGTGAACTGTGACTTCGTTTTCTAGATGACGTACACGTGCCTTTAAAATTAACTTCATTATGAGAGGCTCGTGAAGTGTACCTACACACGTAATTTGTCCAAATATAAATCACGTGGCTATAAATAACGTTTCTACACGCACGTGAATTCACTCAAGCGACTCTCACGTCCGCTCGTCCTCTTGTCTGTGACGTCGTCTGTTTTGAAGGCGCGTGCGACTCCGGGGCGGTGGGCGGAGCCAACATAGGATGTCTATAGGAGGCTCGTCTTAAGTGACCAATGAGAGGCCGTGGTGGGAATGTTGTTTTCAGGATGGCCCCCTTTGCGCATGTCCGATAATGAATAGAGAGATTAACAAGGAGATAGGGAGAGATACAAAGAGCTGATGTATTATTTTTTAAACTTGATTTTCACATTAAGTGGAACCAAAGCTAAAATTTATATTTAATTTTATTTAAAGCCCTCCATCTCCACATATCTAACTCCTTTCTATGTCAGGCTTGTGTGTGAAAGTTCAGTATTTTAAAGAAAAAAAATAAAGAAACTGTCCATTAGTTTTTTTTACATTTTTTGTTTTTATTTGAGGTGCAACTGTCTAGTGCAATTGTAACGTCACATTTGTGATGGGCTGGAGGAACATGCACAAAACGTCCACATGACTTCTGCTCGGCATTTTTCCTTTCCTTGATGCCAAGCGTCTCTTTTTTTTTTCGTGTTCGGCGCTCCAGTTGCACTACGAGCGACTTAACACGCACACGCGCTTAGCCGTACAAAAGAGAACAAAAAAAAAAAAAAACAGACAGAGACAGACAGACAGACAGACAGAGAAAAAACTTCATTTACAAAAAAAAAACATTAGAAACAACCACACATTTCTCCAAATGATTCAGAGTCCGGAGGAGAGTTTGCGTACAGTACGGAGCCGCGTGTCGCTGCATCTTAGTGTGAAGGTAGAAACGTCCTCTTCTTCTTCTGTTCCCGCCCTGAGTTATGACGTCACAGGTAGTTCACGACCTGGCAAAACCATAGATATATATAGACGCGGATAAAACCCCTGTTTAAAAAAAAAAAAAGCTCTATATAGGTATCTATGGTTAGAAACCAGGCACTTGGCAGAGTTCAATTGGAAAACTTTGAATCTGTACAAATGCCTCTACCTAAAAACAGTCGTGCCCTGTTGATTCGGCTTCCTGTTGTTTATTTTAAGAGACTGCCTTGGACAGAGACGTCTCCCGAAAAAACAAACGGACGAAAAGGAGAAAAAAATTCCCTGCTCGAATATCCGAAACTCCAGCCGAGAAAAGGAGGGGGGACAGCGTGTCGGGGACATGGACGAGTTCTCCGGGGGCAGATATCATCCTAGGCCTCCGGGAAAAGCGGCGAGGGGGGGGGGGGCAGAGCCACGGGTGTCCTGCTCCGGGGTGGGTCATTTGTTTGTCCATTAAGTCTGTCCACGTCATTTGGAGAAAGTGCAAGTGGATAAAAACAATTTTTAAAAACAGAACAAAAAAATAAAAATGGAGTTTAAAACAAAAACAATTGTGCAGGTGGAGAAGGTGAGGTGGGAATGAAGACAAAAGGATGGCACTCTTTCCACAGGGGGGCTCCAGTAGCTGGCCACGCCCTCCTGTAGCTGACCACGCCCCCCCCCGTAGCTGGCCACGCCCTCTCACCGCTGGCCACGCCCTCCAGGAGCACGACGGCAACGATTGTCCGAAGCAGGTAGTAAAAGTTGCGGGCGAAGCGGAGACGTGGAGACACTCACACACATGCAGACACACACAAGACACACACACACACACCGGTGCAACTTCCAGAGTCTCTCTGTTTAAATTAAATGTGCAACAAAATGAAGTCGTTTCCGGCGGGATCCTCGATAAAAATGGCGGCATAGTGGGTCTCGATGGTGCTTTTTTTTTTTTTTTAGTCCATTCACAGTATGGCAAGACTACTTCCTCCCTCCTGGACTTCTGTGTTTCCACGCGCCCCCCCCCCCCCCCTCGAGGGGGGTAAAGGTATGGGTTTTTTTGTTTGTTTTTTCCAGTGTCTAGCTTTTCCGGGTTTTTTACGCCGACGTGCCGGAGTTCTGTGAGGGGGGGCCCCCCGCCGGCGTGGCTCCGGGGGGCCCCGGGGGCGGGGCGGCGCCGGTCGGGGAGCCCCCGGTCTGGACCTGCGCCTGGAACTGGGCCAGCTGCTCGGGGCTGGCCAGCGTCTTGAGCAGGTCGTTCTCCTGCTCCAGCTGGCTGTTGCGCTCCATCAGCTCTTTGATCTGCTCCTTCAGCACCTCCACCTCCTCCCGCACGGCGTACATCAGGTGGCTCTTGACCAGGTCCTGAAGATAGATAGAGAGGGAGGGGGGGGGGGGGGGGAAGCAGAGAACATCCATCAAATAACGCTTTTAACGTGTCCATTTCCACATTGAGACATGAAGGCATATGTTATTATTATCATATAATATTTCAATGAATGAAAACACAAGCCAAATACGTTCATATTTGATTTTTTTTACTAAAAGAACTCAAATAATTTATCTTATTAGAGTTTTGTATTGCTTTACTTCAATGAGAGGTCCATAAATCTATTTAAATTTTAATTACAAAAGATAAAACACTGTTGGAATTAATAAAAATGACATCAAAGGTTTGTTCAATCTAACACTATCCCTCTGTTTTAACATTACGATCAAAGGCTAAAATATTTACTATTGGCATCGTTCTACAACAATGAAAGACGTCCGACTCGAAAAGGACAAAAAAAAAAAAAAAGCTAAACACCGACGTGCCTTGAAGACAAATGTGGGACACTCCATCGCTTTCGGTGGCTTCGGCAGTAAATCGGAATGTTAACAAAAAAAATACTGTCCAGAAAAAAAGTCTGCTAAATTCCTCTCATGATCCCGGGCATTTGCCTGTGGGTGGGGATTTGCTTCATAATCTGAGCATCTCTCCTCGGGGGCACCGCCCCCCCCCCCCCCTCCCTTTTCCTGCTGCCCGGGCTAAGGAACAAAATGTTCCTGCGCCCGGAGGAGGAGGAGCCAATCACCGCCCGAGTTATTTATACTGCGTGGAGGGGAGGCTGCCGCTTGCCTAGCAACAGGGGACGGAGAGGCTACGGGGAGGGGAGGGGAGGGGGAGGGGGGGGGACGTGCACGAGAAAACGAGCGAGGAGGATAGCGTGTGAACCTCAGCCTGGCCCACATTAACTTGCCAGAAACCCTGAAGGGGGGGGGGGGGGGTCAGTGGTAAAAACCGTTTTAGAGCGAGAAGCTACAGTTGCCTTCAAATACACAGCCGCGGCTGTCGTGGGGCAGCTTTACGACACTTTCTTATCATTGACAGCACCTAGCATGGAGCACGGGCTACAAAACAAATGAGCTCGTTAACTCGGTTACCTCCCTAAAAAAAATGTCCAAATATGTCGTAAAAACGACTTAAAAAGCTATGCGGAAAGTACACCATTCAGCTAAGTAGCGGAGGGGAGGGAAATAACTACTGGGGGGGAGGGGGGGGCTGTGTTTGGATTACATAACACCGGAGGCGGTTTCTAACAGGACGGCGGGTCCCGCAGCCTGCTTCCAAAACACAATGGAGGGGTTCGAAAAAAAAAAAAAAACTTCACCTACCATTGCTTGCTCTATCTTGTTGTCAATGGCCACCACACTTGCGCCCGAAGAGCTGGAAGACAGAAAGAAAGGCAGCACGGGTTAGTCGGTGTGGATGATGTAACCGCCGGCCGTGGCACTGCGGATGAGACGGGACAATTGATGGAGATATCGCCCCGTTGAATGGTGCATTCAATGACACTCGTCAATGTTTTTGTATGGACGTAAAAAAATGAAAAAAAAAATGTAGCGCGTGCAACAAAGCAAATGGAGGGTTGATATAGAAAAGCTTTGGCTCATATCATGTGTTGAATGATAACGGAGGTCGTATAAAACCAGCGAAAGACGTTACCTATTGTCGACCCGGACCGATGCGCTCTCCTTCCCGAGCACGGAGGAAAGAAACGATATCGAGAAATTCCTCAGTTGACAAACGCCAAGGTCCATCGCCACCGTGTAACACTGGGAATTCATGCTATCCCGCCCGTGGAAACCCCTGAAGGCGACTCGCCGGCTGTGAAAACTGGAGACCCAGCGGTATAAAAGTAGAAAAGGGGGGGCATTGTGGAGTCCGGTCCGGTCCGGGGGGGGGGGGGGGGGGTCTCTTTCCCGAGCGACCGAGAACCCTCGCGGCCGGGATGAGGCTCACAAAAGACTGAAGCCGTGGGCTGATGCTCCGCGCGGGTCGGCTCCCTCCCGTCGCCCCGCGATTGGCTGAGCGCTTGGGCTTAATTAGCATAAAGGGGCGTCTCTGATTGGAGGAGAGCTTCCTCGTTATAATAATCCATGAGGCATCTCTGTACCTGCTGGAACCGGCCCCCTATAAAACCCCGCATCAATTTGAGGAGGCAAACAAGCTATCCGTTCCAATTTAAAGAAAAAAACACAACACATGCCCGCATTTACTACATTTTCCTGCTCTACAACACGAAATTTTAATTCCTTGCCAAGATTCGTCCTAAAATGATACTGACCACTCTTTACTCGGCAATCAATAGCTGTTAAATGGGGCACTGTCTCCCCCTACTGGCCATAAGTGGTAAGAGCTTAACACATAGATGCTTTCTTGATCAAACCGGAATAAATATTTTATATATTTAAACTAATAATGATCCTGTCATCTCATATGGGACGGGCCTGATGGTATAGTAACAGAGCGACATTGTTTTCTAAATGTCACTTACTACCTACACAAAAAGTTTGGAGAAGAAGAAATATGGTTGCAGCACTGCAAGCAACAGCAAATGCCTCGTTTTATAGTTTATTATTAGTTTATTATAGCCTATTTTGCCGACAGTGTGTTAACAATGTGTTCTGTAAGGAAAAGCTTTATTATAGTTGCAATTATTAGAATTCATTTTTAGGGTAAATGTCTTAAATGATAATTAATTACAGTAGTTCCTATAAGTCGTTACATTGGCCATTACAGTCATAGTCCATGTTAAGCCGTTTTAAGACAATTAAAGGCCAAGAAAATCTTCCAGCATCCCAAATTTGCTCATCATTTAAGAGGTAGCTGGTGGCACACTTCAAAACAATGATGTCACAGTGGAAACACAAAGAGAAGTAGGTACTTTGGCTGTCCGATCCAGCCTGTAGTTCACCCTTACTCTAATAAACCTCAAAATAATTTGATTTAATCATCATTCACAACCGTCCGAGGTTCTGAATGGACGTCCAGTGGCCGTCCAGCAGAGATCCAATCTTTGACTGGAGTGTCTGAGCTCCTCTCAGACACATGTTCCTGCTTTAAGCACCTTATCGGAGTTATATCCGTCCCTGTTGAGGACATTCGGTGGTCAGAGTTCGGTCAGACGCTTGTGTTTACACCTCTAAGGTCCACATTAAACCACACCTGTTATCTTTAAGTCACCAGTTAACGTCGGTAGTGAGTTTTAATCTTTTTTTCTCCCTTTCAAAAGGAACGGTCGCACATAGAGATGTATGTATATGCAACGAAAAAGGCCTGGGGGACAAAACTTCCCACCCGAAAAGGAAGATACGACTTAATTGTATGGCAGAGGGGAAAAATTATGTACACGTTTGGGTTTATTGGGTTTGGGATTTTGGGTTTTGACATTGAAGGTCCACAAATCACGCTTTCATGCTCTCACAACGTCAAGCTGAAGGTTCAGTGTGCGTGTGTGCAGGGCCGGGAACATAGTGTCCTCGAACGCAGCCTTTTTGAGCTGGAGTTGAAACACGCTGAGGGGGGTGGGCCTCGATTGCCTCGTTTCAAACTAGAGGCGGGCGACTGCGTAAATCAGCAGGTGTGAAGGTAAACACCACTTTTTTTTTTTTCCCCTCCTCCTGTGTAAACTCTCTGAGAAGACACGCACACAAACATCTGAACGACAACGTAGACGCACGATCTGACGCGTCACGATAAAAGTGACGTGACAACCCCCTCCCCGCCCCCCCCCGTTAGCCGTCGTTACCTCTTCAGATGCTTCTCCAGCTCCCGGAAGAGCAGCTTTAGGGCCATGGCGTCCTGGCCCCGCACCGCAGCAAGCCCTTTCTCTCTCATTGGGGCTTTAAAAAAGCCAAAAAAGCCATACAGTCCAACCAAAACAGAGGCCCCACCGAAGGAAGCTCCCCCCCCCCCCCCCCCCCCCCCCCCCCCCCCCCCCAAAACAAAACCCACGCCGCAACCCCTCTAGCTTCCCTAACCCCCCCCCCTGCTCCCCCTAAGCTGAGGGGGCTTCACTTAAGGGGAGGCCTGAGCAACAATGGAGCTCAGGATGCAGCTATGCGGGACGGGGATGGGGGGGAGAGAGCGCGTTTGTGCGTTAAGTCCTCCTCGCTAAGCCCGGATCGTATCTAGACGATTGGATGCTTTAGAGAAGAAACAGGAGGGCGTGTTGGTGATGTCACTGCCTACAGAGTCACGTCACCTTCCCTTCTGTCGTTACGTAAACCGTCAACGGGTATCAGAGGATGTCCGTCCAATGGGATGAGCCGGTTTTGACCACACACCCTGCCGCTCCCAGTTTGCGCGCGCTATATCGCGTTCCCCTCGCGTGTTTCCCGTTCATTTGTTGCCTTAAATTCGCAACCGACCCTCTTTTCTAGATCTCAAATGCATCTGTGTGGGACAAAGAAGATGTCCAGGTAGAAGTCCAGACAAAAAAAGGACCCCAAACGAGGCCGATAAGCGAGAGTAAACGTGGAGAACAAAGAGGAGGAGAGTGAATATGGCGAGAAGCGACCCCCCCAGGACGTGTGGCGTGCGGCCACGTCGTTAACCCCCGTTAGCCGGAGGTCACAGGTTCTTTTCTGGACTCCCGAGTTTCGCTAACCCCCCCCCACCCCCAAAAGTGCGGACCACCGAGGGCTCCGCGAGATGCGGTCAAGCAAAAAAAAAAAAAAAAAAACGCAGACGACTCTTAAGCTGACATGTCTGTACATTGTGTACATACAGGGCTGGGGGTCGGCGTGCACGTGTGCGCGCACGCTTTGAATAAAAAAAAGGGCCCGATCTGGCGTTTGGTTTCGGCCAATCGGTGAGCGGACTGGGCGCTGCCAACAATGACAATGGCTCCACATCCTGATATTACCGATAGGTTTGTTTTTTTGTTTTGTTTTTTGTTCACGCTCTTTTCTTGACACAAGGCAGAGTTTTTTTTCCTGAGTTATTGCAGGTTTATTTCCTTCTCCGATGCTGAAGGAACATGTTGTCCCTACAGGTTCTCACCCGACTGTAGATTAAACATTAATGGCCCCCTTTCTCCATCTCTGCCAATCTCAGGAAAAAAAATAAAAATAAAAACCCAGGTCGGTCAGAACTTTAACGATTAGCTTTCAAACTGACTGTTTTGTTTAACAGCTCCTGGTTTGAAGATAAAATGGCCGGTGAGCTTATCTCTGCCACGCCCAGGTAGAGCGAAAACATGTCGGGATGAATAAACTACATAAAGGTTTGTTGTCAACAAACCTGAAAAAGGTCAGCTATTTTCGGGCAAAGAGACGTCAAGTCAAATTCAAGCGGCGCGTTACGGGAACTGAACAGATTTCTGACTCCTCTCCTTTTTTTGGCTTCCTTTATTCGAGTTGCCTCTTTCGAAAAGCGTCTGTTTGGATGTGAATAAAGCTTTTAACAGAGGACATGATAAAGGAAAAAGAGAGATTGTGATTGGGGACATAAGGAATCTGTAGACCTGCTTCTAAGTCACACTCACAGGAGACTATTCTGGTCTTCTTCACTTCTCACGCTAACATTTTTTTTTTCCTCCTATTCTTTTTCTTCTCCTCCATCAGTTTGCATCCCGATCCGCCCTCCGGTTCTCTTCCGCATCACTTCCCCGGCAGTTTGGTCTGAGCGTGCCTTCATGGGTCTGTGCGTTCTTGTTTGTGTGTTATTGAATCATCCAGTGTGTGTGTGTCTGTGTGTGAGCGTGTGTGTGTTAGCAGACTGGCGGAATCCGGTTTAGGAAGGCTTTTAAGTCTGGCCTCTCCTCAACGCCGAGAGCCAAAGCAGATTATACGCACACACACGCACACACGCACACACATGCACACACACACGAGTCCAGGGAAGTGTGGTTTTTCGCTCGTTTAGACGTCTGAATATCCGTAAACAACCATTTTTTTCCCCGTGACACGACTGGATCCGGCTGTATTCTTTTAACTTCTTAGGGATGTAATTCCAAAAATAGTGAGCCATTAAAAAAAAAGCATCGGGAAAAAAAACAAAAAACAGACAACAGAGAGGAGGAACGCCCTAAAACGCAAACAGGTCTAAATATCATCCCGGCCCTTTAGGGGCTGCAGCTCTCTGGAGCGTAAGTCAGATCGGCGCCGCCTTGCACGCAACGCCTTACATAACCGTGCCTCCGTGCCATATGAGCCTTCCAAACGGAGGGAAAGCGCCGGGGAAAAAAGAACCAAATACCCCCCCTACGGAGAGCTCCGATATCTCAGGCATGCTGGTTTTCCTGACGGATGGGGCGTTATGTTTCAGCAATCTAACACTATCCCCACGAACTAGGGGGGGGTCTATTTGTGGGAGAGCCTCCATGTTTGGCCTCCACGTTTGGCTAAAATACCAAAAAATGCAGGTTGAAATTACTCCCGTGATTATGTCAGTAAGAAGTATATTAAAAAAAAAAGCATGTTTTTGATAAACAGAAGCATAGAAGTTATTGTTTTTCGACCACTTTTGCCACAAATAAGTGTGAGAGAATATTCAGAGAACGCCGACGTCATCATCAGACGTCACACCAAAACAAATGTTTTAAGATCCGATGGGGCTCTTTGTCGGGGGAAAACCGCGGCGGGGGGGGGGGCCCGACTGTCTAAACAGTAAAGACCTGCACAGCGGCGGTCTGGAAAAACTTGGGATCTGACAGTGGGAAGGGGTCGAACGTTTGACACCAAACATCCACTACTGGTTTTACACTGGACTATTTCTGGCGAAGTCTGCTCTTTACAGAGAGGCCCCTCTTTCCTTGGGGGTGGTAAACGCTCTCCGTGTCTATTTAATCGGGTTTTAATGGCATCACAGATGCCGTTCAGAGTTCGTCTTTGAATTTCGGCTTAAGAAAATGTCATTTCTCGAATGACTGGCCGAATGAAACGAATATTTTTTCCACCCTGCGCAAGAAGATATATTAATTAAACAAAAATATTCACACATTTAAAGACTTTGACCTGTTTCAAAGTAGATTCGGGTATTTAAGAATTTACTGTGACATAAAACGATGTGCAATTCTTCCCTTGGGAAGAAATAACAACACTGTTAAAAGTCTCGGCTTCCTTGTCTGCATTTAGTTAGAAAATAAACTTATTAAACTTAGAATGTGGTTTATTGGTGGGCCTATTTGGTAAGAACTAAAATCTCTTGGATGGAAAACACAACTGATGATGAAATGGATGCATCTTTTCACTCTTTAGCTTGATCCAACATGAAGGAGCCACCAAAAAACGCCCCTTAATGGAGACGCCGACCTTTTTTCACACGCCGTAAATCACCTCGACAAGCCGTGAGCGCGCTCCTATTGAGAAGCTCGCACATGGAGGCGGGGGGCCCACGTTACATGCTACATCCTAAAAGGCCTGGGAGCGAGAGAGCACACGCCGGGCGAAACGTGACTTCCGACGACTTGGCCGCGAGATTTCGGAAAGGGACGGTTAAGCCTGGAAGCTCCCAATCGTGAGGGGTTGAAGAAAAAAGGAAAGAAATAAAAACAGAGGACAAATACTGTTGTCAAAGACAGAAATGATACGTATTTACATTCTCAAATAACTCATTTTGCTGAGTATTTCGATCAATAGTAATAAAACTACTTTAAAAAAAGGCATTCGGAAATCCTTACAAAAAACATAGATGCAATTTTAGACAGGAAAGATTTAGGACCTCTCATAGGTTCCTTATTTATCAAAGAAAATATACGTCCACTTGCATTTTGGTTCAGAGATTCCTTCAAGAACACTACAGTTATATAACCAGCTGCCAAAACATGCAGAGTCAAAAATGGGCACAGGCTGCCATCTTGTGGACAAATCCTGACAGGGGAAGGCCTCCAGTTAAAGAGTTTCTTATTGCCTGTGCTGATGCATAACCAGACGTCAAATCTAATTAACAGACTGCTTATCCACCCTCAGGTGTGATTTATCGCTGTTGACAGGGCAGAAGGTGCCTCCCAAAATAGCCGGGGGCGATTGCCGAAAACAAAGATTCTACCACAACAGCTTTCAGACTTTTCGTCAAATGAGCCTGGATGAGACAAATCTGGACCTGCTGGGTTCTCTTTATTAGACTTTAACTGGGAAGTTCTTTATGTCCATATTAGTGCCATGGTAACACCCAAAGCTCTTATCAAGGAGTGTGTGTGCATAAGAGGAACAATTATCAAATGTTTCTCCAGACTTTGTCTTGTGGACAATCTTTTGGACTGTAAAAACACATTAAAAAGAAATAGACAGGTCACTTTAAAGCTGCTCATAATCGTAATATAAAGAACTCTGCTCCTTCTTGCTTTGTCAAAACAGAGAGCCTCATATCTTATTAGTGCACGTTTAAGGATTTAATGATCTGCAATAGGCATGACTAAACAAGACCGCTCCCTTACATCTGCCTTTGGCTTCCCAGCTGACTTTTTAAAAAGCAGCTCGGCCTGATTAATAATCACGTGAATTTGCGTCCAAACATGCAAAAGCGTGACTCTGATACATGGCTTTTATTTTGAAAAATCCTATTTTGAAATTTCTATTTTAAATGATGGCAAAGATTTAACTGCTTGTAGTCATAGAAATATCATAGAAATATTATAAATGCCGCAAGAAAGCGGGCATTTTAATTTGTGGGTCTGTGTTTTATTTATTTATTTAAAAATAATGACATAAAAATGAAAGACAGGAAGCACTCGCGGGGGCAGAGTTTTCTGGAGGCGTTGCTGCCACACAAAGCTTGCAAAAAGCCAAAACTGAGTTATTACTGAAAGAGCCAAGACACCGAATGCTGAAGATTTGCTCAAAATGGCGAGAATTTAAGCTGAGTAAGCAACAGTGACCAATAGGTGAACGTTTTCCGAACCCCTAAGATGGTTTTAGGAGCAATTTCTCTGGAGTCGTTTTAAGAAATGTCATAAGTTTGGAGATTTCGTCACAGTCCAAACTCTACTTTTGATTATCCGGGACTTAACGGTGGATAAACGACTCATATGACCATTAGCCTTCACCAAGGAATGTGAATGGGTGCTATTACGATTAAACACACAAATATTTGTGTTTACAAAATTAGGTATTGAGTTATTCCTCTTGGACGAAGCTATTTTCAATCTGTTCGATCTATAAAAGATGCACTAAATTGGAAGTCGATTCAAAGAGGTAAAAGTTGATACACAAATGTAATACTACTAAATGTGGTCAGAGTTTTACTGCCAGCAGCCACAAGTTGTTTTATGCTTTCCCCTTCATCTACTTAAATCAATCTCCCCTACTTCCTCACTCTGTTTTGTGTATTATAAAGTTTCATATGAAGCTGTTTTAATGAGAAAAAAAATCACTTCTGTTGCAAAAGTCGTCAAGGAGGTGAGATAAATTAGAGGGGCCTGCTGGGAAAAGCCAGAAAATTGACAACTTCTACAGAAAAATAAGCTTTCACGGCTAAGTCCGTTGCTTTTTCAGCAACATGTGCCTAAAAATAAAAAATTCATAATAGAATAAAACTTAGAAAAACAGAAGCATGGCTGAGTTGATATTCCAAACACGAAACCGTGAGGGTAGAAACACCTGTATTGAGGAGAAAGGGAACGTAGCTTGACGGGACTAAAGAATAACAAACAGAAATCTGCAGGAGTTGAGAGAAACGTTGGACGTAAGCGGGCTTTGGACAAAGACGACCGGGACCGTGTGTCGCTGCGGGACAGTGGGTCATTCATGGCGAGGAGAAAAAAATCAAGCACACGCATCGTGAAATATACGGAAAAACTTGGGGAGGGCATGGAAAATGGTAACAAATTCCTCCTTTTACATCAGTTTAAGCATAACCAGCGACTCAGTGAAATGACAACGTTTAGATAACATTTCAGATATTACCAGAGAGGTTTTCCCTGCTTTTTTTTCTCGAATTAGGGTTTTATTCCGGAAACAAGGTGTGAGGGTGCGGCTGACGGTTGTCAGAGGAACTTCCCCAGCACCCTGCAGGCATTGCTCAGCCATACGTAGCACGACTCTCCGGCCTAACAAGAACGAGGAACTCTAGAATGCTTGAAACCGGGCGTTTCATTTTCTCTGCGGTCTAGACAATTGGACTCATGTCTAATAGTCCCAATACCGCTCAGACCTATGGAAAATAACTGATGTTTTTTCAGGATACTGACCCAATTTTTAGTGATCACCTGCAGTTTTTAGATAAACTATGACAGATGAACTATGACGGATGAATTGTTGGATAAGACAAAACGGTGGACTGAAGTCGTAAGGCAGAAGGGGACGAAAACGTGGCCTTGCTGATGTTAATTGGGGTAAATGCGTGGTGTTTGAGGGGAGGGAAGAGGGGGCTCGCCGAGGCGCTTGCTGAGTCACCACTACTCCCTCTGTGACTCGACAGCTTCGCTGCTCCTCGCCCGGACAATAGCCACGTCCAGTGAGCTATAGCTCACTTGCCACCTTCTGGGGGGGGGTAGCCCCAGGGGAACAGCACACCTCAGCCGAACGACATACAGGACTTTTTCAAATGTGAGATAAAAGTTGTGATTCACTGCCTTTTCTCAAATATTAAAACAGCAGTTGATGTGTCTGTGTGTTTGCTTCATTATAGAAAAGAAGAGAGGGGTACTATGTACTCTCACCTGTCGTCCTCTCCCTCGGCATGCTGGCTCCGGAGGCCCGCGGCGGCGGCGACCATGAAGGCGCTGGCCTCGGCCGACATCCCCATCTGGGCCAGGGACCCGACGGCCCGGCTGGCCTCCGCCAGGCCCTCCCCGACCGCGGCGCCCCCAAGCCGGGGCAGGCCCAGCAGGCCCTGGTGCTGCAGCAGAAGCCTCTGCGCGTCCTCTAGATGGGAGCTTTTTATGGAGCCTCCCCCTCCTCCGGGGAAGTGGCTGAAGCTGGTCCCTGAGGTGAGGAGGGGCTGGAGGTCGGCCTGCAGCGCGGTCAGGGGCATATAGGGGCTCCCGTGCGAGCTCGCGGGGATCGTCGACGGCAGCTGGAGTTGTGGCCGGGGCTGACCGGGGGCCGGGCGGGCCTGGGGAGCCGCCGGACCCTGATGCTGGAGCTGCGGCGCGAGACTGACCGGCTGCTGCTGGGCCGACCCCGGCGGCGGGACGGAGACTCCCGCCGGGAGCGGGGGCTGGACTTGGGTCTGGAAGGGGGCGGTGGGCTGGATGAAGTCCGGCTGCCGGACGCCGGCCGGGGCCAGGGCTGCGCCGGGCGTGGCGTAGGCGCCTCCCTGGGGTCCGGCCTGCTGTGGGTCCATGGCGTAGGTCAGCTGCTGGGGCGCGGCCGGGGGAGGCTGACCCCCTCCGACTGTGGGAGCCACCGGTTTCGGCACCGCCCCGACTACGTCCTGAGGCGCCACGTAGCTTAACGGATTGGTCTGTACGAGTCCCTGGGGCGGGTTCGGCATGGCCTGTGGGCTGGTGAAGTCCTGACCGGGCAGCTGGTAGGGCTGCAGCGTGTGGGGCGGCTTCGCGGCCGCCCCCCCGGAGCCGATCCCGACGCCGCCCGCCTCGCCCTCCCCGGCGGGGTCCGCGGCCTTCTGCGCCTCGGACGCGGCCTGGTGGGGAACGTCCTTCTCGTAGTATTCCGTGCACGTCCACCTCCCCTTGCGAAACGGCTCCGAGTTGGTGTCCAGCTTGACCACCCGGAAACGGGAGCCGGTGGCCGCCTGAGTGTGGCCCTGCTGGGCGTGGGCCGGAGCGGGAGCGGGCGGACCCGCTCCTCCTCCGGAAGAAGCCCCTTGACCGCTCGTTACGGCGTAGTCAAAAGCTACAGGTCCAGGGGCGGCCGGCAAACCTGAAACGTTCCCGGCGCCTTGGATGTGGATATCAGAAGCTGTCCCGCCCATAACCGGAACATGTGGACCCGCTTGGCTCGCCGGTTTGGGATTCTCCGGCCTCTGGGACTGGCCGGGCCCGGCTTTGGACACCAGCGCCGGACTGGAGGCGGCCACGGGAAGACAGGGCGGCGAGGGTTCTCCCCCCAAGGCGTCCGAGTGGCGGTGTGGACCCTGTCCGAGCTGCTGGGGGTGATGCTGGTGATGCACGGTCCCGTTTACCAGATGATGCGGAGCCCCCTGGGAGATGGCGTGAGGCTGAAGGGGCTCGTTGGGCGACACCAGCCCGGGGGTGTCGACGCCGTGGAGGCTGTTCAGGGTCTCGTCCGAGGAGCTCCTCTCCGGCACGCCCGTGTCCGTCGCCCTGGACGCGGACACGTCCAGCATCTCGGAGGAGGAGAGGTCCTCGGTGTGCGACTCGTCCATGTCGTCGTAGCTCTCGGTGTCGTCGGCCAGGCTGTTGTTGCCGCTCACGTTGACCTGCGCCGAGGTGACGCTGGTGATCTGGAAACCGCTTTTTTTCTTGACCTGAGCCCCGGCCGTCTGGGGCTGGTGGTGGAGCGCCGGGGAAGAGGACCCGGCCTGGGCCTGACCGTCGTCCACCCCACCGCCACCGCCACCGGCCCCGGATGACGCGGACGCACCGCTGCTTCCTCGTCGGTAGTGGTACGCCGCTTTGCTTCTCCCGGTCCCGGGAGGTTCGCCGGAGAAGTCCTGGTGGTGCATGTTTTTTTTCTTTTCTTTTTTTTTTTTTACCTCGGCGTCGAGGTTCGCCGGTCGGTTAAATGGCGTTAGCCGCTAGCTAAGCTAGCTAAGCTAAGCTAGCCCGGTCAGCCGCAGTACCACGATACTAACGAGCCATAGGTGACAAGTCATATGATTTATGTCCTTTAAAATCAAGCTCAGAGCTCCCGGTTTTAGTTCGGCTTGAAGGCCAAGTTATAGACGACGACCCTCCACTCGGCGCAAAGATAAACCCGGCATCGGGCTAATAAAAGAAATTGTATTTAACGTAGCAAATAAAAATCAACATAGACTGAGAAATTAAGCTAGCCGCCGGGTGGCTGTAAGCCGTGTCGGCGTTAGTTAACCGCGCTCTTTCCTTGCCTTTTTTTTAACCTCTAATTACAAATACCCAGTGGGTATTATGTGACAAATAGACGAATACAAATAACTGTATTCTTAAACTCCACTGCTGGGTAAGGAAGAAGCTTCTTAGCTCGCCGGTGTATGTCGCAGGAAATCAGTCGTCGCATCCATTACTGCCCTGGACGACGACTCTGCCTCCTTCTACCGAAAACTAAAAGGATTCCGACTCAAAACAAAACGACCCGTCCACTGTCAACGAACAGTGGTGTCTAAATAGTATCCATATTAGAAGTAGTCCATCTCAGTACATGATTCCACGTCCGTGTTTGCTGTATCATTGCCGGCGAGCAGCAGCGGCAGTAACGGGTTGACAGTCTCGCAGGAGAGAGGAGAATGCAAACAGTACAACTGCGCGTGCGCAAGACTGCCCACCGTTTTTTTGTTTTTTTTTCCCAGATTGATGATGCATTCAAGTTTTGGAAGCTCACGTCGGATTTTGTATACTTATTCACAAAAAAACTTACTCGCACCTCTTCTTTTGAACAAATAATTAGTCAGACTCGTGAATTTGACAATTGTATATCTCTTTGACACTTGTCAATTCACAAATACACTAGGAAAATTAGCAGATTTAACTTCATAAAAGGTTGTACTAAAAGCAAATTATTGGAAATATTCCATTTACATCAACTCAGAAAACTATTGAAGGCAACATGGACCTCTGCTTTGTGTTGACTTTTTTTACCTTCTCGGAACCAAGCTTTCGAGAAGTGCTACTATAAACGATCTCTTTAAAGAGCACTGAGATGTCATCAAATGATTCCTGAGGAAGCTCATTTCCCTTGTTTAATGCTTTTGAAAATGCTGTACGCGATCTGTTACGCCCCTTAAAATTAGCCTTTGTACACACTGGAAAAAGGTTAATTGTACCCCTCCAAATTTTAAATCAGGGAATTAGCAGTACAGAAAATGGATAGGTGGATAGATCACCTTTTTTTTTTTTTTTAGCTCAATAGGTATAGTTTAATCACAGGTAGAGAGGCCAAAAAGAGGCGCAAAAGGTGACGAAATCAGAAACTTATTGGCCATTTTATGAGATGTCATGTGACATTTTAAACAAGACTATTTTGAGCTTTCTCAGGGTTTTTCATTTTGAGAGTAAAAATAAGAAAACGGGGGGGGAAAATGATAGACTTTTTTTGGTCTCACATATATGTTATAACTCTCCTGGAGAATTAAATTAGATCTTTTAGAGATTTGTTTCACCAAATGTATCTTTACTGTTGTTTCAATTAGTCAATTACCATTCAACAGTCAACGGATGGGAGTGTTCACAGTATCATACCAAGAAACAATCAAGGTACCATGATTTCACAATATATCGAGCAGTAATTTAAAGCATGTACTTTGCTCTTCACAGGAAACATCACAGGCGTTTTCCACAGGATGAAACATACTACTTTATCCGTAAACAAACCCCTGGTTCCTGGTTGCGACACTGTTTACATATTTTCTAAGCAACATCTGAAACACGCACATAAGAGGAGTTGTTATTATGGAACAAGAGATTGGACCTTTATGACCCATATTAATGATGTAATGTGGGCAAGTCTCCATTTCATAAAAGTCATACTCGTGCCAAGATCTATTTTGAGAGTCGTCATCCATTGGCTTAAAGGTTTAACTCTCTATTGTTCATCTTTGTTGATTTACTCTCAGTTGACCTTATGAGCCATATGAGCTTGGGACTCCGTAGCACTATGGACGCCCTAACTTTAAAAATGGATATTGCAGACTCCGGGTATAAGTAATCTTTCCCCAGAAGATCTTAGATTGAAAACAATGTTGAGTGTCTGATATTTTTTAACTGGACTTATACATATAGAAGAAAACAGACAAAATACCAGTCTGTATGCAGTTTTATGGCATGGATATGCTTGTATTTACTTACTCAACAGGGTAGTAAATCTGTTTTAGAGTTCTGATTTGTTCCAAAAATGAAAAAAAACTGCTAATACAGCGAATATATTCCTCGTTTGACGCTTGAATTTACGATTCATGTGACTCGAAAAAAGAAAATACGATGCCCCGTGTGAGGCTCGAACTCACGACCTTCAGATTATGAGACTGACGCGCTGCCTACTGCGCCAACGAGGCCTGGGAAATCCCGCGAGTTTGTCACTACTGTTCCGTTTCCTTCTTTTAACACGTACCCAATCACGGTCACATTCAATTATCGATGTGCAGATAGCTAGGCTTTAGTCCTTCCACTGAAGTTCTAGATAATTAACAACTGAATCAGAATTTATGTTATTTGTGAAGTTAAAAAGTCAAACTTGTATTAACTCATGGATGGTTAGTTAGCTTGTCTAATGCAAAGTTACATTCCATGGACAGAGTATAGCTTCCCTATCCACAGTAAGTTTATGTCTACAATAATTCCATACCTAGTAACTTTTCTAAAGACAGGTGGTGCACATAATTTGAATCCATCACATTAAACACATTGTGGAGAAAGACATAAAAGACACAGATGGTCAGCATGTTGCTCATGAGTAATTTTTCTGTCACCTTTCATATTTAAATACTTCAGTAATCTAATGCAAATTTATTTTTGGATCAATTTTATGTAGAGGTTAGACTTATTACTCAATAAACCTGTCATTACTCTGTTTAAATCCATGGCCACTAGGGTGAAATATTGGGCAGCTGCATTAAATGGCTGCTTTCCAGTTATGTGAGTTATGAGATCCACATGTCGCTATTATGAGTTTCTCAGTATTTGACATCAAGATCTCGTAATTATGACCATTTTTCTCATAATGACAAGGTATTTGTAGCTGTTTATTAGTTTGAATGCTACATGTTCTATAGTTAGTAGTAAAGGCAAGAGTTTTAACTATTTAGTTCTTGTTCAAATATATTTTACTTGTTTTCAGGATACCACCTATGTGCTACAAACTGTTTGGATGTGTGCATCAAAATTCTCGGTCAAAACATGTTTCATTTGCTCTTATGATGAGTAGAATAGAATAAACATTAAAACCGTCAACTGTATTCCCAAAAACATACTGTATACATAAAAGTCGATGGGTCCTTGAGGATACATCAAGGCATTTAAGAGGGCATTAGATTATTATCTAACCTAACATCTAATAGGCTTACTTTGGATCTGAATACCTTGAGGATTCAACTAGCCGAACATCATCTCGTATCCTATTGGGATGATAACTTAAAATGTCTCGCACAACTCCATCTAGCTCATCATCCACAATGCTGCAGAATAAATCGGATACTCCATCAGGAGGAAAAAAACAAAAAAAACTATGACTGGTCAGTTGCTTTTATTTAGGTTTTGGGCATTCTGGTTACACCATTAAATATACAGTTATCTTGCATGCAAAATGTTTTGACGGCTACAAAATACTGTGAAGTTCCCCACAATGGTGGAAATGGTCCAGACCGATTTCTCTCACAAAAGTTGACATTTTAAGAGAATAAGTACCATGACAGTTATGTTGAATGCTGCATACTTGTGTATATTAACGCACAGTCGTAATTGTTTTCAATTACACAAAATGAATAGTTATTTAAAACTTAACTATACATGCATGGGTTAAAGGCTTACCATACTTATTAACTCACTATGTGTACATCTGAACACATAACAGATCGGTTACAATTTGGACCTTTAGCGAAAATAGGAAATACTACTGAGTTCATAGCTGAAACAGAAACACCACACATACTTAATTTTCCATGTCTACCGTTAACGAGAGTGGTTTCTCCTTCCTAATATCTCCACAAAACAATTAATAGTCATCATTGAAAGCATTGCTTTCAGCTAAATTAACAAGGTGCCTTAATTCTTCAGAAATTGTCTGCAAAATCTCAGCTAGGCCTCCACTTCTTTTCTCAAATAATGAGTTCTCCTGAAAGGCCAAAAGCACAGGCATGTACAATCGATCTGTACATGGATCCTGCTCTTTCCTGTTTATAGACTAATAATAGAGGAACTGAAATGCATATGGTAAAACAGTAGGAGGTTGAAAAAGAGGAGGTGGAAAAACAGGAGGCTAAAAAACAGAAGCAGAAAGGGAAAAGGAAAATATATATATACATGTTTTTGATGAAAACCTGAGTGAGGAAAAATGAAAAAGAAAACATATACATTTATTAATGAAAATCGCACTGTGATGAAAACCTGAGTGAGGAAAAATGAAAAAGAAAACATATACATTTATTAATTAAAATCGCACTGTGAGGAAAAGGAAAAAGAAAATATATTCATTTCTGCTTTTATTTTTAATTATGTCAGTTTCGGTCCCCCATAAATAAAAAAAATGGCTTAGTTAGGCAACAAATTAGGTAACAAATTAGTGTCACACTCCAGAACAGAAGGGGGCGATATTGAGCCGAATGATTTCTGAACACATTTCAAAGAAAAGAAAAGTCCTGTCTCGCAATACTCCTAATAACTGTAATGCATGAGGCGATAGAGAGAGAGATGACAGACGACTAACTTCACACAAAACGACACAGCTATGGATTTGGTTTTGTATTTGATAGCTGCGGCCATTCTCGTTGCCCTAATTTTGTTTGCGTTGAAGGTGCAGCGGAAAACGCAGAATGGTGAGTTTTACCCGAAGCTAACGTTAGCTAACAACCACTGTTACCGTGTCGGTGAAAAGTGAACGTTTAACCTCGTATTTTCGGGGTTTACTCTTTGAACAATTTCGACAAGACGTCTTTTTTGAGTAAGTGTTATACCCACTCTCGAAAAAAGCGGTTGCGGAAGGTAGGTAGGTCCAATTTAAAATCCAAGACAGGCTACGTCACCTTACAGCTGTCATGTTGAACATCTGTCGAGCCATTTTTTTAATTAATACTTAACAATGTTTTAACTCGTCTATTTGTTTAACAGTATTTTTAAAAATATATAACCTATATTTGAGTGATATTTTTTAATTAAAAAATATATTTTTTTTTTGGGTCACCCAGCTGACGAAGAGCAGCGGAGGAATGTTGTCCGGGCTGCGGGCCCACCTGCCCGGCCAGCAGAGGAGCGAAGACCCGGTGTCCCGCGCCGGAGGGGAAACCTGGCAGCCATGATGGCCAACAGGCGACAACAAAGAGAAGAGCAAGGTGCTCGCCACCTGTCATGGTCGTTTTTTTTTTTTGGCTGTTGGTGCTGCCTTGGACATCTTAATCTGCCAAATGTTTAAAGTAACGGGGAAAGTTTATGAGGTTTTCCCTGTTAGATGGCTGAGAGGTTCAGGAGGTCCTTTGTACCCATTTACTATTATTACAGCTAACTGTGAGTCTTCCTGTGCAATAGTTAAAATTCTTTTCTGTAATTTAAACCTAATACTCAATGTCTATTTGAGTCCAGAAATTGCTTTTATTGGCCAAATGTACAAAGTACACCAGAATTTGACTGAGGGCAGCCCAACTGGATGTACCCTTTTCCTTAAGAAAAACAGAAAAGACGAGATTGGGGAAGGAGTTGTGGGGGAAGAGGAGGAAAAGAAAGACCCAGTGCCACGCCCCCTACCTGGGAGCCAATTAAAATGAATTATTCCACCTGATTAATGTGAATTTTGCTCCTGAACTTCATCATTTATCATTATCAGAACTAAAACAGCATCAGTTTTTTTTATACAACAACTGGTGATCCCCTTTTTATTTTTATAAATGAGCAGCAAACAATGTGTAATGATTCAACCGGACGCACGTCGTGCAGATATTTAAACGCCGAACGTATCTTCCGGGTTTCAGAGGAACCGCCCGCCGAGGAAGAGGAGGAGGAGCAGCCGAACGTCGTTCCCGCCGCAAAAGTCGGCGCCAAGAAACAGAAGAAGTTGGAGGAGAAACAGGCCAGGAAAGCCCAGAGAGAGGTGAAACAAACTGTGCTGCCTCACAGGAGCTCTGCTGGCTTGTTATTATTATTATATAGAAACCGGATGCATTGACCGGCTATGTCTGTCTCCTTTTGCAGGCTGAAATGGAGGAGAGAGAGGAGAGGAAGAAGATGCAGGAGCTTCGAGAACAGGAGAGACGGCAGGAAGATGAGAGGGAACGACAGCTGGAAAAGAAACAGGTGCCTCCATCTCACCGCTTCTCAGCTGTGGAAGAGAAGGAGGGGTTAACGGAGACTCCGTTTGCTGTTTTGATAGGAGGAGGAAGAACGGCGGGCGAAGGAGGAGCAGGAACGGCGAGAGGAAGAGGAGTATTTAAAACTCAAAGCTTCCTTTGTCATCGAGGATCAGGGCGAGGCCGAGCAGCTCTCCGAGGACCAGGTCGGGCCACTGAAACGCACCTTTTTTAGCTTTTTACCGTCGGAATAACATCTTAAATACGTATATTTTCTGCTTTGTTCCCAGTCGCGGAACCTTCTACAGGATTTCATTCAGTACATCGAGGTAAGACTGACCAAACGTCTATGAACGGTTGCTACATTTTTCGGCCCGAACGCTGTATTCAAAGAGCTCCCTGTCCGCAGACGTCCAAGGTGGTTCTTCTGGAGGACCTAGCGTCTCACTTTGGGATGAGGACGCAGGATGCTATCGCCAGGCTGCAGGACCTGTTAGCCGAAGGCACCCTCACAGGTCAGCGTGTGTTAATTTAAAAGGATATTTTGTCCGTAAGTAAGGGGGGGAAAAGCGGACATAATGTTGGTGTACCAACTTCTTTGAAAAGCCTCAAATAAGATCTTATTCTACCACAATTAGATGGATCAGTTCCAACAGTGCTGAGTCTTAAAGCCCTCCTCTAATACCTTTTGTTACCTAGTATTCATGATGTATATCTATTTGTAGTATTTATTTTGTTTTTGTGAGTCTTTCAGGTGTTTATCTTCATTATTTGCTATGGTTAATTAACGCTTTATGTAAATAAATGATCTCTGGTCTGATGCTGACACCAACCCAAAGTACAGCGTCCTCTATAAAAAGCTGTTTTTTGTTGTTTTGTTCTTCAGGTGTGATCGATGACAGGGGCAAGTTCATCTCCATCACGCCGGAGGAGCTGGACTCGGTGGCTCAGTTCATCAAACAGAGAGGCAGGGTCTCCATCGCGGAGCTGGCTCAGGCCAGCAACTCCCTGATCAACCTGACGCCCGAGAGCCGGAGCGCCGCCTAACGGACGGCCCCGCCACCCAGGAATTAAAAAAACCCAAGCCTCGGATCAGGTCAAAGCGGCTAGCGGGCGAGAGAGAGAGAGCGTTTGATAAACACGGAACTGTCTAAACGTGGTTGGGGTTTGACTTAAACTGCCCAGCATCCTCCAGCCGTCCTCTTTTATTTTATTTATTTTTGGGAGGGCATGAAATATTGAAAGCTTCACTTTTGAACGTTTAGCTGTTTGTATTCAGATTGACTCTCCAATTGTCAAAACGTAATTTTCATGATGTCACAACATTGTTTTGTCATAACTGTCTGAATACGACAGGCAAGGGTTGCAGACCACGTTGTTTTTGCTGAAATTAAGAAATGAAATTGGCTTGAAAAAAATAAAATAAATACACTTGGCATATACCAAAACCAATTAACATAAATTAACATTTATTCCAGCTTGTATGAATGAAAGCTTACGAGTCCGCAAGAGTCTATATCAGAGGATTTGAGAACCTCATGTTTCCTGGTCCTCCTGGACTTTGTGTCCTCTCTGACTGGACTTTATCTCCCACGTGGAGGTGGTTCCTCTGTCCTGTACAAACGCACACACGTCAAACGTCCCGTCGGTCCGTCCCCGGCTAACCAAACCGGACGTACCTTGATCAGCACGCCCAGAGGAGCCAGGTCGTCTCGGAGGGCGTCGCAGGCCTGGAGCAGCGGGAGACGGTCGGGGTGGAGCCGCGGCCCGTTTGGGCAATCGGCGTCCGGACGGGCAAGCGCGAACGCTCGGACTGCGCTTCTGAAGCCGGCCAGGCACTCCACGACGGCCGGCAGGCTTCCGGAACTGCTCAGGACGTCGGCCCCCTGCTGGAGAGTAGTTGAAATGGCAACTGACCTCCCTCATGTAAGTAGTTTATCATTTTTTCCTACTAATTAGGAAAATGCGACCAACAAAGAGATGTATTCTTTTCTTTTTAAAATGACAATCTCCAGTTGATGTAGGCGGAGTTTTTAGTTGTTTTTTTTTTAACAATGTTACCTTAGACATGGGCACAAACATGCACAAAAATAACACATATTAACTCATTGACTGCCAGAGTTTTTGGAGCATTTTGACTGATTTTTCAAGAGCCACAGAATAGTTTGTGCTATGACTATGTAAACACCGAACACACCAAAAGAAAGAGTAGACTCTTTTCTTTCATCAGGAAAATTTTTGTTTCTTATTCCGTTCTTCCTCGACTTGCGTTTCACCGGCGCCATTTTTAGCATAGCGAACCATTATGTTTTTCATATTTGCCTACAATCTATGCTCATCTCCCATCAAAAGTGACACTGCCACCTAGAGGGTCAATTTGTTACTACATACTCTGTCTAGAAGCCTGATATTTACTGACAAGCCACTCGCGTTGAAAAACATAAAAGACGTCTATAGACGTCTTTGGCAGTCAACGGTTGTATTTGAATTGACGCTATAGACATCTTTGGCAGCCAATGAGTTAAATAAATACATTTTTAAAAAATGGCAACTGGGACTCGAACGCAGTCCTGACCTGACAGTGAAGCAGATCGATCCCGAACACGTCCAGGACCTCTCGGACGTAGGCCACGATGGCTCCGAACACGGCGGGGCTCCGAGTGCCTCCGTCGCCCTGGGAAAAGGACGCACGCGTCAGCGTCTGGAATTCGGAGCTAATTACGTCGTAAGGCGTTCCGTTTTTGACCCTAGGTCTCGGTTTCGGTTACGGTAGAGACGGGCTGGAGTTGGCGATTCCCGTGGTGGACCAGATTCATCAGGGCGCCCACGGCTCTGGGCGTGTCGAAGTCGTCCGCCAGAGCTTTGGTCACCTGAGATTTAGCCTCGACCAGCCTGTGAAAAGATTAAAAAAACGACAACCGACCAAACAAAAACGAAAAAGTGAGACAGAAACAGACAAGTTAAGCGAGAGCTGAAACGCTAGTCTCCAACTATTATTCTCCAAATTAGACATTTTCCTTTGGAAAGCAGTTTTCTGGTTCTTTCTATATTTACGCTGACTCAGGAGAGAAGTGGCCAAGCCCCCCCCCTCCACACTGATCTGAGTCAGTTCGACCCTTTTGCTTTAAGCTTGTATTTCTTCTGCTTGTGTATGATTTTAACTGGACTGTGCACGTCAGGAAAAGTGTATTCAAAGGATTTTCTATTTATATAAGCTTCTTTTTTTTCCTAAATTTAAGTTAGCACATTTGTGAGGTTGAAAGGTTTAAAAAAAAAAATCACTGCAGTTCTTTTTTGTGTTTTTTTACTTTGTCGATTTCTTCTCCAAAAAAACACACGTTTAAAACCTAAATCTAACTTTGCAGTTGACGGACTTTGACGGAGGCTGGCTACCTTTCCCACAGGAGGTCCTCCTGCACGGGCGAGCACAGCAGCTGCCCCCCCATGTACGCCCGGGCGGTCCCCGCGAAGGTGACCAGCGTTTCCAGAGAGGTCCGGGCCTCCGACATGCTGCCGTCGCTGTAGTCTATGGCTGCGATCACAATTAATTAATCAGAACTTATGTTATTTGGGAAGGTAATAAGTCAAACTTGTATTGACTCATGGAGGTAGGGTAGGCCACAGGAAACGGTACGGGAGAGGGTCAAGGTACCGTGTGTGTGTGTGTGTGTCTGTGTGTGTGTGTGAGTGTGTGAGAGCCACTGTGCCGTATAACCCACCCACCTGATCTGTATTTCGATAAAAGACAAAACATCCGGAATTCGTTGGCGGAGTAAGACTTTAGGAAGTCCTGATAGAGGAGAAAAATACACATTGGTTTGTTTTCATGTTTGTTTTTCTGTAAATATAAAATAAACAAAAATAATATATATATATATATACACACACACATGTATATGTATACACATACATTTAAGATCTTCCACAGCTTTGACTATTGCTGTGACTCCACTATCCATTAAGATTTATGCATCACATTAATTAATCATCTGGGATTAAACAAAAAAAAAAGAAGAAGATTTCTCACAGTAAAGTGAAAACATTTACTGAATTTAATTTTCCCCAAATAGTCTGGAATAACTCTACCTTTATGGTGATGTAGTTCTTCAACGATTTGGACATTTTCTCCGTGCTGCCCTTTAGGTGGAGATGACCTGAAGAAGTCAGGAAAGAGTTAGGACGTTTGGAAGCAACGTTTGTCTCGGATTTTTCAACCCGGACTTAAGCACGAGTGGTGGTTCGTGAACAGTAGAAAGAAATATTCTTATAACGTGATGGTATATTTTAAAAAGCTAGACCCCTCTCTGGACCTGATCAATGGTACAGAATAGATGGTACTTTAGGTTTTCCAATAGGCCTCACAGAACCCTAAAAAAGACAACTTTGAGACAGATATGTGGGTTTTGCAAGCACTTTAGGGTACAAGTACATATTTGTACCCAGTTCTTTTGCTTAAGGTCTTTACTGGGATGCATCAGAGCTGTTCAGACCACATATAGGGAAATTTGTAGATTATGCACAAAGGGATGTAAAATTCGGGAGCAAAAGATCAAAACCCAGTCCAAGTCTCAGACCAAACAGGATTAACAATTAACCGAACAGCCGAAAACTGTTTTGAAGACCCAGACGGCATCATCTTTTTCCTCATAAAATGAACAAATAACCATTAATAAAATTAAGTTGTTTTTTTTCCCCCCATTCTGATTGAATAGAGGTTTCGGGACTCACCTGAGTGGAGAAAGTAGTTGCCCCACTGACTGCACTGATGGTACGCTTCACTCTGAGCAATCTCGTTCTCGTGGTGGGGGAAGGCCAGGTCCACCCCCCCGGAGTGAATATCCAGCTGACTGCCAAACACGGAGCTGAAACGACACCGCGGCATGAACCGCGAGTTAAATATCCGAACACGTTTCTTTGGTTTTTTTAAAACTTTTTTAACCTCTCTACTCATAGCTGTTTACTTCCAATAGCTGGTGTGTGTCCTCTGTTCATTCTGCCACTTGGGAAACAGAATACATATATATATATATATATATATATATATATATATATTTATTTATTTATTTATTAGGGATGCCAATAATTGTGGGACATATAATTTCACACTTTTAATTTTCTAAATGTGTGATTTTATTTTTACCACCAAAGTAATGTACTTAAATAAAAGGTTGGATTTTTCTATTTTTTTGCATTTGGGTTCTATGTTGTTTGAAAAAAAAAAAAAAGGTAGAATTTTTAGAAGTCCTCAACCACATCTTAAACAGGGGTGCCAATAATTGTGTATATCACTATACACAATTATATATATATATTTGTCTGTTATTCAAGCAGAAACAACCAACACTTTTCATGTGGAAAAACGTTCTATAAAGAGTCTAAAGGTTTAAAAGTTGCAGTCAAGAGACTTCCAGACATAGCTGACTCTTGATCCATCCTGTTTGCATTAGACCGGGAGGTCCAACGGAGACTAAAGACATCCGAATGAAAGGAGGTCCATCGTACCTTGCGACTGTGGAGCATTCGATGTGCCAGCCGGGCCTTCCTTTGCCCCACGGAGAATCCCAGTGCGGCTCCTGAGGTTTCGACGGCTTCCAAAGAGCGAAATCCCTCAGGTCTCGTTTGTTGGAGCTGCCTGGAAAAACCACCCGGTTGTTTTTTGTTAACCAAGTCTGACAAACGGTGCTCAGAATCCCAGAAACTGGACACCTTGAGTAGCTGCTCGGTTTAAAATAAGGCACTTTTGGCCAATTTAAAAGCACCACAAAGAAAGGTTTGATTTTTTTTCAGCGAGAAAAATAAACTGGTGTTGTTTGCTTCCAAATAAAAGTAGAAAAATGGAAAGTTGTTCAATGTGACAGAGTAAAATGATCGTTTCTTCTAAGCATGTCTTCTTTATTACTGTCAACTAGAGTCTAAAAAGTTTGTTTTACCCTTGAATGCAGAGAATTACAATCCATCTTATGTCACACCTTACCGGGATCTCCTTCAAAACTCGTAGCTCCAACAAACTTGCCATAATTGTCCCCAATGGACTGGACATCAAAATAAACATCACCTGCAACCAAAAGAGACAGTAAGGAATCTGTCATTTCTCTAGACAAGTATCAACCGTGGCTTTTTCTAAAGATTCACCTTCTTTTGTGGCATAAGCGTGTCCATTTTTGATGATCCCTTCTATAAAGGCAACAATATGATGCACGTTCTCCGTGACTCTTAAATACACCGCCGGAGGAATCACCTTTAAAACACAAACACACAGAATTTGTGCCTCTAAATACACCATTTACTGGCTTTTCCCACCTTTTCTGACAAGATTTACAATTCAAATGGGATTTTTTTTCATGAAAAAAACCCTTTTAATGCTAATTTTGTATCTAAATGCACGATATTTTTGTTTTTTACCTGTGTAGATGTGGCTCTGTGTCACCAGTCGGCACGTTACCGAAAATGAATAGTCATAAATGACGAGTAAAGGAATGTTTTTGCATCAAACCTCTGATACTTCTTGTGTATTCTTTATTTTTGTTTTTGTTTTCCATTTGCCATGCACATTATTTTGTATTTTGACCATTTATAAAGTAAGAACTAAAAGAATATCACATATAAATATAATATATATAATTTTTTAACACTTCTAAAACGCATTTTACTCTTTCTTTTGCAAAATATGGTAGAATACACCAGAATTTCTTGTCTTTTTGAGTAGAAATGGAAGCAGAAATTCTGATTTATTTTCACTTTGGTTCTGACCAGAAGCACACATAGTGATGGGAAACCACTGACTATAGATTTAATATTTTATTTCAATATTTGAGGGCAGTTTTAAGATTAAAATCCAATCCCACCTTCAATGACAACATATCCTTCTTGAATTCATCCTCATAAAACCTGGCAATGACAGCTGGGGAAACATTCTCCTGTCAGAGAACAAAAGGAAAAAAATCAATAAACGTGATTTTTTATCAGTTTAAACTTTTTTTCTGGTTGCATTCTTTACCTCCCTACTCCTTTTGATTATTTTATCATCAATGTCTGTGATGACCATGGCGTGGATGACAGTTATCCCAAACACCTTTGACAGAATCCTCTGCAGGATGTCAAACCTGACATAAGAACTGGGGGGAAAAAGACAAAAGTTAAGCAAAAAAAGAAGCTTATTAATGCTCGTCTCTGGATATTTGTGTGTTAAATGTGTTAAATAGATACCATGCGTGGCCCAAGTGCGCGTGGTCGTACACTGTTGGTCCACAGCTGTACCTGTGACACCAAATGAGCACGAGACGGTTGTTTTTTATGGCAATTAAACATCTGTAACCATGAGTGTAGGCGGTCATAGTGCATACCAGGTGGCTGTTCCCTCTCTCGTTAGAACGAGGGGCTCTTTCTGTTTGGTAAGGCTGTTGAAGGTTTTTAAACCGGTGTCGAACCCGCTGGGTCTCGTCCACTTTCTCCCTGAAACGCCACAGCTGGACGCGTTTGATCTACATTTGACGGCATTTACGTACCGACCCCGGCAGAGGACCTTTGCTTTCTGTATCATTGCTATCCACATATTGCGACTTTGTCCGAAGAGGCACGCCTTCAGCTATTTTGCGTTAGCTTCTCTTAACCTAACTGTTTTCAATAAAAATAAACATAGTCACGCTATTCTGTAACCGCTACGATATACGACATAGCTCTTTTTCAACACCTCGCATGCCGTTTACCGATTTTCCCTAAACTAAATTCAGTTGCACACGAGTTCTCGCGAGACTAGAATAACGGAAGTGTTCGGAAACGCGTCATGTGACAGGTCTTGCTTGGCACTTTGCCTCAGAAGCTATGTCAAAATAATTACTTTTTTTGGGGCAGTAAAGGGGTGATAAGGAGCTGACATATTAGTCTGGAACAATTATCCAACATGCAGAACGTCATAAACACAGTGAAGGGCACAGCTCTCGGTGTGGCGGAGTTTCTCACCCCAGTGTTGAAGGTAAACTTACATTTCAGCTAGCTTATGTTGGTTTATCGTATGTCAAATCGTGCGACAAATGTCGGTTTAAAATGATTAGTTGAATCCAGCAGCCAGTAGGGAAGCGTATTTTGGTGTACCGAAACACTGTCTCGAGTTCAAATGAATAAATTGTCGACCCTTTTAGGTGGTGTTTGTTCAGTAGTGGTAAATGCGCAGCCCCACCTTCAGTTTGATGCAGTTCTGAAAAACAAACCGTTTTTTTATTTGTGTTCACTGACAGGAGTCAAAGTTCAAAGAGACCGGGGTGATTACACCAGAAGAGGTGAGAATGAATTTTTTTTTCTATCTATTTTAGATTTGCTTTCTTCCCTTTAAAAATGCTTGGAGCTTCATTTCTGGTTTAAACCAAAAATAATTCAGCATTTTGTATTTCAGTTTGTAGCAGCTGGAGATCATCTGGTCCATCACTGCCCTACATGGAAATGGTGAGTGGGTTTTTGTAGCTAAATAGAAGACGTGCTTGTCTCATGGTGTGAGATCCCTCAGCTGAAGTTTATAGACTTTGATTTGGACTGACTTAAGACATATTCTTGGATTGTTTGCAGGAGAATAAAGAGGGAAGACTTTCAGATGGGGTGGAGGGGGAGATTGTTGTTACCATTCTCTTAAAGAAAGACAAACCCACAAAGGGTCACTGAACAAACACCAAACATTAATTTACAATAAACCTCACCTGGTCAAAAACAAAGATGTTAAACTAAGGTGTGCTCTGTAAGTGGCATCACCTCTCCCATTTTGAACATCAATAAATTCAAACTTTAGACTTTAGCCGAATGTTACCAACAGTCTTATCCACATCTGAGTGCACTGGAGATTGAGTAACAAGGGATTTTTGACTTGGAGTCATCTGATTACTTTCATTATTAGGCTTTAAGTTCAGGAAACCGACTTGTGGTTATTTAGTTTCTTTCTACTTTCTGTTGTCTGCTTTTAGCAAATATACAATTATATAGTGAACTATTTAAATTGTCATTCACTAACCTGTTTGAAGGCAAATGTGACAACAAATTATTTGTTGTTCTGTTGTTTGTGTTTTTGTTTTTGTTTTTTTTGTCCATAATGTACATGCAACAGAACAAGCTTTGTTCAGAACAAGCTGTTTGTTTTGGAGTGCTAATTTTTTATTCTTCCCTTGTGTTGAATTTCACGGTATAGTGCAATATCCCTCTCGACTTAAGTTGCAAAAAACAGCGTTACCTCTGTGTCATCAGTCGGCACATTACCGAAAATAAATAGTCATAAATGACAAGTAAAGGAATGTTTTTGCATCAGACCTCTGATATTTCTCTCGTATGCTTTACCGTCTTTGTTTTCCATTTACTACGCACATTTTTTGTGCTTTATAAAAAATAAATATCATATGTACAGTATGTGTGTATGTATAATTTTTAACACTTCTAAAATACATTTTAGTCTTCATTTAGCAAAATATGGTAGATCAGACCAGAATAACTTGTCTTTTTTTGTAAAGAAAGCAGAAACTCAGAATTATTCAGAAGCACACATGGAAATGGGAAACCTTATAAATGTCAAAGTCAAGTCAGGAAACTGAGTTGAAACCATTTAGTTTTATTTTTTTTAAATATTCAGACGGTTTTCCTCTGGGGTTAAGTTGACCCATTCAAGTTTAAAAAGGGCTTTATACCTTCTGGTCTACTTCTTTCAAACATGCCCACCACACATTTCACATCCATTTTTGTTATTTTATGGTATAATAGACCTTACTGATATCAAACTGTGGTAGGCCTTCGATTGGAAACAGAAGGATTTGTTAAAGATTTTGACTGTAGTTTGATCAGAGCCACATATGTTACTATAATCACAGGTGGGTACATTAAAAAGTACTTCATTATACTATGGAACCATCCATATTAAGACATGTTAACATTTAAAACAGGTTTAATTGACTTTAATACAACAGGGGGGGGGTTAATGGAGCACTTGCTCCCAGGTTGTGATGATATATATTTTTATTTCACTTAGCTTGTCATATGTTTTTAAAAAAATGAAAATTGTCTTTTAGGGCTTCGGGGGAAGAAGTTAAGGTGAAGCCATATTTGCCTGAAGATAAACAGTTTCTGCTGACACGCAATGGTAAGAATATAATATGGAGGTAATCGTTTCAGTTTTAATATTTTCCTTAAGTAAACTCTTCCATACATTTGCTTTTCACTGTAAATTAGAAGATCTCAAGTCTACTGGAATTTCAATACATAGCAAAAGAAATATGACGGTGTACTGTAATGAAAACACTGATATTAAGTTGTTTTTAAGTGTGAATCGAGTTGTTTGTAAAGTGCCAAACATTTAAAGGAAAAGAAGTAACTGTCTTTGACCGTTTGATAGCTGTTTCTTGACCTCTCCTACTAGTGTCTATGAAACCATTTTGCTAGAGAATTTCGGATTAACTGAGTCTTTTTTGGAGACTAATTTATTTTAAAGGTGAAAAAAAAAGCAGTTATAAAATCTTTTTTATGAGGTTCAAGCGACATAAGATGCTCAGAAATAACTCCTAAGGTTCCTCGCTGTACGACTAAAAGCCAAAGACATGCCGTCCAGACTAACTGTTTAACTACACATTTGTCCTTGTGCTTAGGTCTAAAGACTATAACTTCAGTTTTTTTAATCAAATATACTGTATGTCTTTAAAATGCTTGAAGTTTCACCAACTGTTCAGTTTTGCCTAGATATTAATGGATATCATCAGCTGAACAATAGCCCTTAACGCCATGCTGACTAAGGAAGGAGGAAGTGTTGTCACAGTTTACATGCAAAAAAGGAAATAACTAAACTTTCCCCAAATTACTACATAGATGTAGTTTTAAGAAATACAGGATTAACATGAGAACAATTAAATTAAGATAGAAAATTGAAAAATAAAAATACATAAATTAAAAGTACAAATGAGGGATTTTTGATGGAATGCATTATGTTCCTTTTTCTTGCATGTTACAGAAGCATGATTAGAGTTAAAGTTATCGGTCCTAGCATAGAACCGTGAGTAACTCCATAAGTTCAAGAAATCTTGTATGTTTAGCCACTGATTAGTTCAATCTGGTTTCATGGATAGGTACAGCTTTATTTTATTCATCACAATATCTATGTAAATTTAAGCCTTTTTAATAAATGTAAATTTAGTGTTGGGCACATATTTTAGGCAAATATATGCAGACTGTCTCAAATAATTAGAATTGTTTCTGTACATTCACGAGAAAGATGAAAACCTTGCCGCTGGATTGTTTGGTTTAAAGAAATTGACCATATCTCTTACAGTAACCTGTACAAAACTCCACTTTTCTGTTCCGTCTGCCAGTCCCGTGTTACAAGCGTTGCAAACAGATGGAGTACTCGGACGAGCTGGAGGCCATCATAGAGGAAGACGACGGAGACGGCGGTTGGGTGGACACTTACCACAACTCAGGTGCGGAAACGCGGAGAAACCCTCTTTTTTCCCCCCCAACAGTCTAAACAAGTCCCATTCATCTCGACTCAGCCGGGAAAATTAAAGTAAACATGGAGTCTATATCTGAAAACAGAGGGAGTCTATAAAGTTACTATAAAGTCGATGAAACTGGACTTGATGGTTAAATAAGCCACGGCTTTTTCGACAGATGATGGTTTACAAAAACTGAAAGCAAGCTTTTTTCTGGATCCCGGAAGACTGATCTGAATGTGTCTCAGCAGGTGCGCTAGGAGTCACAGATGCCGTACGAGACATTTCGCTGGACAACAACAGGGTAAGCTTTCAGTCTTTTCTAATACAATTTGGAACGAAATTTGTATTTAAACTAAAACTTACATCATAAGGGAGCTCTGCTACTACTCTGCATAGTGTTATTGCTGTCATAACTTTTACCATTATCGTTAGTATTAATATCATTGCCATTTTACATCCAGTCTATGTGTTGCTGTGTTGGCTGCCTCTCTCTGCTCCCTCTGTCCTTCTCTCGCCCTCTCTATCTTGCCCTCTCTCTTCTCCCCTCTCTTTCCCTCACCCCCAACCGGCCGAGGCAGATGGCCGCCCACCCTGAGCCATGGTTCTGCTCGAGGTTTCTGACTGTTAAAAGGAAGTTTTTCCTTGCCTGTGTCGCCTAGTGCTTGCTCATGGTGGGGAATTGTTGGGTTTCTGTAATTAACTTCAGAGTAGGGTCTGACCTGCTCTGTTTTGAAAGCGCTGTGAGACAACTGTTGTTGTGATTTGGCGCTATATAAATAAAATTGAATTTAATTTAATTGAATATAGAAAATAATAGGCTGAACTGATTTGTTAGAACTTTTAGCAAATGAGACCAGTTAGACAGCAGCCTTATCTTGGTTGACTTACTTTGCTGTACTAAAAGGCTTAGGCCTTTTAAAAAATTTGTAAAAAATGTTTTATTACCAGTAACTACTCATCTGCATTCAGCATGACTCTTCATTTTTAAAAATTTTCCATTTGGGGCTGGTGCCCCCTAACATTTACGATTGACCCCACTTGTTTTAAAGAATACAATTTCACTTCCCATCTATTTTTTGCCACTCTATGGGGGTTCAATTTGTGTTTGCTCTTCGAATGTCGCTCATTCAACACGATATCACGCCGACGTTCGGGCCTTAAAGTCATTATATAAAGTCCAGCGCCGCCTTTCGAAGCCAAAACCCGCTAACGGCTCCCTTTTCGAACGGGACTCCTCCAAGGACAAGAACATGAATGCCACATCGGCGGCCCGCCGCAACGACGACGACGAGGATGAAGACGAGGAGGGCGAAGCAGCTGACATGGAGGGTATGACTGGTCTTTTTTCTTTTCTTTTTCACTTTTTTTCCCACTGGTGATGTCACTCTGATGTCACTGCTGTCTCCACAGAATACGAGGAGAGCGGTTTGCTGGAAACGGACGAGGTATTTTCTCAGAAAGTTCCAGTTCGTTTTGGCCGTTTGAGCTGAAATATCAGCTGTGATCTTTCCTTCCGTTGTGCCTTACTTTTTCCCTTTTGTCTCAGGCAACTTTGGACACTAGTAAAATGGTAGAGAGCAACGCCAAAGCAGAACCCGGGAGCGAAGACGCCATCCTCCAGACCAGAACATACGACCTGTACATCACCTACGACAAATACTACCAGACCCCTCGACTGTGGCTCTTCGGCTACGACGAAGTACGTACTTTGAATAAATATAGCCTCGTAAGCTCTTTCCTGAGTCTAGAACTTAGACGACATTTGGGAAAAAAAAGACGTTTAGCAGATTTTCGAAGATCCCGAAACCAGCATTTGACTTTTCGGTCCGAGCCAGAAGTTGAGCCGGGTTCATTTTTCTGTGTCCCAGGACAGGCAGCCGCTAACTGTGGAGCAGATGTACGAGGACATCAGCCAGGACCACGTGAAGAAGACCGTCACCATCGAGAACCACCCCCACCTCCCCCCACCCGCAATGTGCTCCGTCCACCCGTGCAGGTGAGAAGGACACATGGGGAAACTATCATGTTCTGACATTTTTGAAAACTGTATAAGGCAGTGACTTCCTATCTTTCTTTGTTTTTTTTATTTTTAATTAGATCATACATACAAAATACTGCTTGTTTTTTATGGTTTAGTAGGTATAGACTCTGTTATTAGATATTTATTTTTCCTCAATTTATAATCTGACCACGTTTATATGAAACTACATGACTGATTCCCAGGTTTCCTTTCCTCTTTTTTTATATATTTTTTTATTTTTCTGGTTTGGACACCAATTTTACTCAATTAAACCCTCCGGTGACTAAACTCAACCGGTTCCCACTTTGAAAAGACCGCTTCCTCTTTCCCAACAGATTACAGCAGTATTAAACAGGCGCATAGAAAAACACAGTAAACTCCAAAAACCTTGCTTTTATGTTCTTAAACTCTTTTTTTTGTACCTTCAGGCATGCAGAGGTGATGAAAAAGATCATTGAGACCGTGGCAGAAGGTGGCGGAGAGCTCGGAGTGCACATGTATCCTTTAATGGCAATAATGGAGACCACAACAAAGTCTCAATCCAGTAAAATTAGGAAATCCCAAATCTTTATGGTTTGTTTTACTTGATTCTTTTATATTTTGCAGCTCTGTCTTTTTTTTTTTATCCCATAGGCAGAGAATCTTTCTCGTCAAAGGAATTTTAAAACTCTTAACTGAACAGTTTTTGGGTGATATTTAATGATATTTTTCCTCTGTGACCTCCAAGGGCTTCTGTTTTTTGTTTGTTTTCCTTGACTCGGGGTTTTCAGGTATCTGCTCATTTTCCTCAAGTTTGTGCAGGCTGTCATTCCGACAATAGAATACGATTACACGCGACACTTCACCATGTAGCTCCGTCACCGCGAATCTGCTCAGTTCAAACAGCACGCGCACATGTGAAACGTCAAGTCTGTCTCTGCTCTGAACACAACAAATTGATCCATTTGTTCATTTTTCTTTAAAAATCTGAGTCATCCGTGGCCATTTGCCATCACTCTCATTCACGTTGCCCCATGCAGAAGGTAGATGGTTTATTCCAGCTCTTTTATAAACACTCATCTTCCTTTGGAAATAGGCGTCGGGAGTTTTGTTTTTTTGTTGAATGTCCTCCACAATCTGGATTTTTAGGGTGTTTCAACTCAGAGCAATTTCACTGTGATGTGTGGTTTAAAAACTCCGGTTAAAAGGAACACAGTGCTTTCATCAGACTCACCCATTCCACACCGCTTCAAATGAAGGACTGAAACCGACAAAATGGAAATTAGCAGCCGAAAAAGTAAATATAAATATAAATAAATCAATCGGCTAAATGTGCCCATCTTAAATAATAAAATTAGACATTATTTTATATTTTTTCTTCAGTTCCCACCTATAATCATGCATCTCTGTTTAAAAAATAAAGGTATTTATTTTACTACATACTTAATTTATTACCTATTTAAAGATCTTGGTTTTATTTCTGCCTTTTTCTATTTTTATTTCTGCCTTTCTCAATCTTGTAGTTTTTTTTATGAGATTTAATAGAATTATATTTAATATATTTTGTATTATTCTATATAATTTCTTATATAAATTCGATGTGAAAAATTGCATAATAGTATACCAATTAAAACAATTAAACAATAATATTCGATGAATGAGTTGGAAATCAAGAAAAGCATAATAGAAGAAAACATAATACATAAAAATAGACACTACAGTAAAACCAAAATGGTTAAATAGCTTACTATTTCTATTAAGCATGTGGTGGAATAAATAAATAAACCTTTTAAAACAGACGTGTATTGTTATAGGCCGAAATTCAGGTAGAAATATAAAAGGTTTGTCATTCATTTATGGAGACATTCATACATTTCTGCTTTTATTAATGCCGTCAGTTTCAGTCCTCCATACTTCAATGGTTCAAATGTACAAGTTCGGGAAATTGCTTAAAGGATTTCGGTTGCACTAAATGTCAGAAAGACCTTTCATTTTAAAGTAAACATCTTAACACTTATTGAATGTATGCACTCCCTTTTTGGCTTTGGTTTGCTTCCACCCCCCCAGAAAAAAAGAAAGTGAACATCTAGCTGCTAAGTGTTGCTAATAAGCCACTGTGTGTTCGTCTGCTTTTCGGTCTGCTGCTCAGCTGGTCACATATTGTACGGTTTTTCATTTGGAAACAGTTTGGGTACGACCTGCTCTTCAATTCACATCTATAACTGACACGATCACAAATGATATTACAGTGAAAACACACATATGTAAGATGCTGATGGTCGTTTTTGTTCCTAAAAAAATCCCTGAATCTGACATTGTTAGGGTTGCTTCTCTTCAGTTCAGCCCCTCATGCCATTCTGTCTTAATACCGCTTTATTGGAATGTGTCCGTCGGCCATCCCCTGTTTTATTTAACAACCGTTCTTGTAGTTTGCTTGTAAAGGGATGCTTTTCTTATCTTTGAGCAGTTTTTCTAGCCGGCAGACTGTGTTCGAAAACCTTGAGAGTTATCTCCACTCTTGCTTCTACGGGTGTTGTAAAAGATTTGCCGTTTGCTCCCAAAAAAAAAAAGTGCTGCGTTTTCAAATAGGATGAATATGGAATTGTTTTAATGTCATACTTCTCAGTGTCCTTAATAAAAATTTATGACTAAATCTTCCAGTAACTTCCAGGCTCTTTTCTTTGTTTTTATTGACATTCATTATACAAAGCAAAATATATATATTTTCATTATATATATATTTAAATATTTTTTTTAGATATTTTTATATAATAATATATATATTATAAAAAACAATAATAAAATAAAAAATACATTTAAAAAATATATATGTATATATGCACTTACTCCCTTTTCTCTCCAGCAGGTGGCAGTAATGCGACAAAAAGCTGCTCATTCAGTCCTGTTTATAACGAAGCCAAAATCAGAGAAGAAGCAAAAGGATTCGTGGAGGTCGCTCCCACCGGGTCCACCAACATGTCTGTGTTTTATCCCACCGTTCTGCTCTGCGTCTATGGCTTCTTCTCCAGCCTCCGGCCGTCGGAGCCCTTTCTCACCGCCTACCTAATGGGGCCGGATAAGAACCTGACGGAGACTCAGGTGAGTTAGCTTAACGGCTGCCGTGCGGTTAGCTTCAAAGACCTTTGCAGGCAAACACACTTTTATCGTGTCACGTGGTCGAATGTAGTATTATTTATATAGTTTTTTATTTATTTCAAAACTACTTTTGAATATCCTCAAAAAACTGGTTTTATTCAGTTTGTGCGTTTATCATTCACTTTTAATTCCGTTTTTTTCAAAAATACGTTTCGCTTGTATAAGACTCGTGTTAAAATTACGAGAAATTGACAGAGAAATTATGCATATTGCTAATTATTTAGAAGAATATGCTCGTACTTCAGCATACAAGAAGGTCTGGTATTTAGTCTGGTCAGAGTAAAAATAATAACATGCAGGTCCAGACACACGAGAATCAGACAAAATAATCCCTTTGGAAAAAAGCTAGTTCTTGGAGGTAATTCGTCACGTGATTCCAGGCATGATCAAGTTTTCCCAGGCTCATGTTGCCACCGAATAACCCAAAGGAACTCAACCTTTCTTCTTCAATCCTCAGATTAAGCTGATTAGGAACCAAACTTCAGCCAATCTCAACAACAATGATTTTTTAAATTCAAAGTGATTCAGTAAATAATCAGATCCCAAATGTGTGAAGCTATTCTAACCGCTTAAAATGAGATACATATTTTACCAAACGTATATAGCAGATGTAACCAGAAATCTAGGAACGATGTTTCATCAAAGTGTTGCATCATAGAGAAAACTAACCCGGCTCTCTTTCAGTTACCGGCTCAGAGCAAAAACACTCCCTACCTGGGCTGTCAGCAGGTGGCATTAGGGATCCACTTGGTGGTTATAAAACAGGGTAACAAGATAGGAGAAAAGGGTTTATCCGCACATTAGTTTTTAACACCTTTTCCTACCATTCAAATTGAAAGAGAACATAGAAATACTGTCATTATAACTAAGAAGTAATGTTTAGATCAATTGAAATGTTTTATTTAATTTTTTCTCCTCTTTTGTGCAGGTGGTCAATGAAATCTACCCCATATGGACCTATTCCTACCTCGTGCTTTTGTTTCCCATCTTCCTGGCCACGGACTATCTCCGGTACAAGCCCGTGTTGGTCCTTCAGGCCACCAGCCTGGTGGTGACCTACGCCATGCTCTGGAAGGCCCGGGGCATGGCGGCCATGCAGCTCCTGGAGTTCTTCTTTGGGCTGGCCACGGCCTCGGAGGTGGCCTACTACTCGTACATCTACAGCGTGGTGGAGCCGGCGCTCTACCAGCGGGCCACCGGCTACTGCCGCAGCGCCGCCCTGTTCGGCTCGGCCGCCGGGTCTCTTATCGGCCAGCTCCTGCTCTCCGTGGCCGGGGTTGAACTGATCCACCTGGTCATCATCACGTTGGCGTCCGCCGCTTTGGCCTTCGCCGCCCCTTGGTTTCTGCCCATGCCCAAACGGAGCTTGTTCTTTCACACGGTCGCCGGAGAGGCGGAGGACAAACCGAGCTCGCCACAAACGGCGGAGGACCCGGAAACTAAAGAGCTTATGGTGAGAAAATAAAAAATAAATCTTCAGATTTAAAAAAAAATAAAATAAAACTCGGCAACCACATTCCTCAGATTCCCAAGAGCCCCAAGGCGGAAGGCCGTAGCAGTGGTCTGGCCGAGGTGTTGCGGATGCTGTTCCGAGACTTCGTCCAGTGCTACAAATGCCGCCCCCTGCTGGCCTGGTCGGTGTGGTGGGCCCTGGCCACCTGCGGCTACTTCCAGATCGTCAACTACGCCCAAGCCCTGTGGGAGGGCGTCCGACCGTCCCAGGAGTACGACATCTACAACGGCTACGTGGAGACTCTGTCCACCCTGCTAGGTGAGACTCCGAATAATCCGATCATTTACTCATTGGCTGCCAAAGAAGTCTATATAGACGTCTTTTATGTTTTTCAACGCGAGTGGCTGGGGGACAATCTGCTAAAGCCTGTCCGTAAATATCAGGCTTCTAGACAGAGTATGTACTAACAAATTGACCCTCTAGGTGGCAGTGCCACTTTTGATGGGAGATTAGCATAGATTGTAGGCAAATAAGAAAAAGCTAACACGAGTCTACTCTTTCTTTTGGTGCGTTTGGTGTTTACATAGTCATAGCACAAACTATTCTGTGGTCAAAATGCTCAAAAAACTCTGGCAGCATGGGACTCTCTGTTCTGAAATTGGCTGGCAGTCAATGAGTTAATGTCTGTTTGCTTTCTAAAGAGTTTGACCGGTGTCCTCTCGGTCCGCAGGGGCTCTGGCCGCCCTGCTGGCCGGCTGCCTGCCCGTGTCCTGGGCCCGGTGGGGGGAGCTGGCCCTGTGTCTGCTCTCCTTCCTGATGGCTGCCTGTGTGTTCCTCATGGACCTGCTGGGCAACATCTGGGTCTGCTACGGCTCCTACGTCCTCTTCCGGGTCACGTACATGCTCCTCATAACCGTGGCAACGTGAGTACCAAGTCCGCTGATACGGGGAAACAGTCGGGCGGACTTCGTGGGGGGCGAGTCGCACAAGTTAAGGATGGAAAGTTGCTTTTAGGGTTTTAGGGTTCGGTGAAGATGCAACGTTGGAAAGAAAAAGAGTAGAGGGACTGGTTAGAAAAATGTACTAGCTCTATAGTTGTGCGCTGTTGTATTCAATGGGTTTTGTTCACCGTTTTATTCAAACCAATTTATTAAGAATAAATACTAATGTCAAATCCTGAGTTTAAATGGGGAAAAATGACACCACTCACCAAAAGCTAGATGCGTTTGGTTTTCAGGGTAAATTTCAGCCCTAACCCCATTTTTGTAAAGCCTACCTTGCAACCCAACCTGTAGTGGCTAAATGTCCTTTCTTGGCTGGTGACCATTTCTTCTCTTTGACGAATGCAAATAACCACTCTTTCAGACGGGAAGAACGAGTCTACGCGTGTTAAGGTTTTAACGACGATAGAAAACGGTGTATTCACCCCGTCTTTACTGAACATTCTAAAACAGACAAAAAACGTCAGTTTACATTCAACAAAGCGCGAGCTCCGAACGTTATCGCTCAGCGTCAGTTTCTATTGGCTGTTTAGTGAAGATCATTTTAAACATTAAAATAAATGCAGATTAAACTAAAATCAATTATAAATTTGCAAAACAATAACTTGGTAAACTGCAATCATAAATATTCTATGAAAACATAGAACCAAAATCATCCAAAATAATAACTAAACATGAGCATAAATTACTCCATAGAAAATGGCACCAACACAACCCTTGATGATGTATTTATTGTTAGTGTGTTATGTAGATTTTTGATGCCAAACATGACTGGGGACAGAGAGAGAGAGAGAGAGAGAGAGAAAATGGAGTGGGTGCAAAATGAGGGGGAACATATAAAAGAAACAACAAAACCGAATCCGACATCCAGCTGACTTGTACGTTTCCTGGCTCATTTTAATCAGAACTTGTCTTTTGGCCGTTCACATTGTGAGATGGGGAAACCATGGCGACACCCAACCGTTGACCAACACGGCCTCCTCGTTGTTGCGATACTTTGAGCGGCGTGTCCTCAGAGGAAAGCGGCAAAGGTTCATCGGCGGGTTGCGAATGAGATGCAGAGATTGGGGGGGAGGGGAGTGTTACCAAAATATCCCGTCACGGCCTTCTCAAACAGTTTAGATTAACATGGTCTGTGTAAGAGTACCTGAACGCACCACCATGGCCCAGGCGCCATCGTCTCCACAAATACAGGAGTTTGCTTTTCTTTTTTTTTTTGTCTTTTTTTTTTTTTGTTTGGAACTTATTCCAAAGTGAATCTGTGTTACACATTTAGCCACGTGCACGCCGTATGTCACCTGCCTTTTAAGATAGGATCAACTTTATTGATCCAAACAGCGGGGGAAATTGTGTTTTTCGTGTGATTATTCCTATAAACCCGAACGCTCTCCTTTTTTTTTTTTTTTTTTCCCGTTCAGGTACCAGATCGCGGCCAGCCTCAGCATGCAGCGCTACGCGCTGGTGTTCGGGGTCAACACCTTCGGGGCCCTGCTGCTCCAGTCCCTGCTCACTTTCGTGGTGGTGGACTCGGCCGGCCTGGGCCTGGGCATTTTCACCCAGGTCAGGAAAAAAAAAAACGCAATTTTGCGACATGAGCTCTTCTTTTCTGAATCTCCTCTTCCGTTTTTTTCGGCCCCACAGTTCCTCATCTACGGCGCCTACTTCGCCGTCATCTCCGTGGTCTTTCTCCTGGCCGGGCTCTGCAAAATGGCCGCCGGGAAACGCGCCGAGGAGGAGGAGGCGCTCCCCAACGGTCAAGCGGGACGGTGAAGGCCGGTCCCGGCGCCTCAACACACTCGGATGGCGCCGACCGGCCCTTCGTAGTCGAGCACAGACAATCCACAAGGTGGGGAACTAAATGTACCACGCACAGTTCGATTGCAGAAGGTAGAAAACGAAGGATTAACAGAAACTTTAGAATTATGACAACGCAAGTCGCTTCAACAAAATTCGATCACGAGGTAGAAATTTGAGCTCCACAATTGGACACGTCTCGCCCACCACGTGCCTTTTTAGTTCCTTGCTTTTTTGGGATCTCACAGATGGGAAATCTGTGGCAACACTGCCTCATTTTATAGTTAAAACCTCTTTTTTTTTTTTTTTTCAAGTAATTACTTCTGGCAGGAAATGTCTGAAACGAACGAGTTCATTTCAACATTTCGTAGAGAAATTAGGCTTGTCCCGATCCGATATTTGCAACAAAAAAAAAAGTGCGTATGGGCCGGCAGGAGAAAATGCAGATCCAGACTCCCAATCCATTTAAAAAAAAAAAAAAAATTCTTTAAGTCAGATCCCACACGAGCATTAGCATCCTAACCATTAGGTTATTATAAGAGTAAATCCCTTTCAACATGAGTCTGACAATTAAGTAAGTAGATAAATAATCTTACACTTTAATACATAATAGGATAATAGGAAGTGCAAAAAGCTGGATCGGGACATCCCTAAGAGAAATGTTGGTGATTTTTTTATTTATTTATTTGTCCCCCACCTCCAGCACACATCGTCTGAAATGACGATTGCACCAGGTTGGTCTCCGTTCATGCTGTTTTTTGCAGGTAAACTCTATTACACAGCCCATAGGTTGACACAGACTGAAGGTGGTTAGTGTTAGCAGAGCCGTTTGGGTTCTGGAATTTAGGGAAAGTAGAAGATTTTAGTTCTAAGGACTTAATCTGCAGGGCCAAGAAGTTTGGGAATGTGACGCTATGGGCATTCCTTCCAGCAATTTGGGCCAGGAAAGCTTCACAGTGAGTTCTATCACAAGAAAACAATAGAGAGTCGCACAATGAGAGGTAAAAAGTAAAAAGAGGCTGAATCTTATACAGTTTTTGTTTAAAGAACCTGACAGATTTTAGGTTAAAAAAGAAAAAAAAAAGGCCTTTTCTGTGGTTTGGCAGTGGAAAGGGCTTCTTCTTTGTTGCCATGACAGCAAGTAAATGTTTGCCTCTGATCACTAGAATTCTTTTTTAGGAAATAGTTTTCATATAAAAAAAAATGATGGAACAATGCCTTAGCATCACATTTTTTTATATTTCCAGCCTGAAGATGACTCATAACTGTTCAAAAGAAGAATAAGCTCCTCAAAGGGATCTTTGATTATCTTTTTTTTTAAAGTGTAAGTGAGTTAACTGCAAACAAAGTGGAAGTCCGTAAAAAATTCCGATATAAAAACAGAGGGGGAAACTCTATAGGTCTAAAGATTTAAACGCCTCACCACGTGTCTACACTGTGACGAGTAATGTTAAAGTTGTCTTTATTAGTTGCCTTTTTCCCCCCCCTTTTTAGTTTCTGATGCTTTCGTTGTCTTATCTCCGATTTCTATGCAGATATCTGCACGGAAACTGTTTTTAGAAGTGGAAAGTATTGGTACACAAAGCATATCGATGCGTGTTTTATGGCACGATGCTGCTGAGGTTTGAATTTCGAACGGATTTCGATGCACATTGCATTACGAGCACCTTTTTGATATGCGTGCGCTGCTTTTATCTGTCCCAGCTGCTAATCTTTTTTTGTTTAAAAAAAAAAAATCGTTTTATAATGTGCCTTAGAATGGCCAAGAAATATTTATTCTCCTACATTAGATGACTACATACTCAACTCATAAGCCTCAAGTCTGTATTCCCTAAAAAACGGGGGACATCTTTAGTAGCAATATCAGGTAACAAAGTGTTCAGCTAAGAAAGTGTTAAAAGAACGAAATAAACGCACAAGTTTGCTTAAACGGTTAGAAAATGTCGGATGTTTCTCTGACAAGTCGGGGAGGGGTTGGGATTACATATATCCTGTTTTTGTTTTTTTTAAGTTGCCATGTTCGACTCAACCTAAAGTCTGTGAATACCTAATATGAAATGCGGTTTAAGGGGTAATGGATAGAGTACATTTCGTTTTTATACGTACACACAACAGGTAGTTTTTCAGAGCACCACAGCTGTAAAATCGGCTGCCGGACAATTGCAAAAGATCAATTCCGGCTGTGGGTTAATGGTTAAGGCAAGGCAGATTTATTGTGTAGCATATCTCGCGTACGAGACGGTTAAGGTAGTTCAAGTGTCATTCAAGTGTAATTGTGAGTACTTGGGTCATTGCTGTAATTGAGTAGCTTTTGGAGGCAGCTAGGGGTAGTAAGATTTTGATTGTAACTTTAAAAAACATAACAAAATATTCAAATGTACACTTATACTCTCAAAACTAGAAAAGTTGAGCAGTAAAGATATTTGGGAGGAATTCAGTTTAAAAAAAAAAAAAAAGAAATTTGGGTGACGGGCTTTGTCTATTTAATCCAGACAAACTGTTTTTTGTTAAATTAAGGGGTTTTATTTTTTTGTGGGGGGGTAGGGGTTTTAAATAATAGTTTACATGACTGATGCTTTATCCATCTGTTACATCCAGTTTAATTTTTGAAAACTGAAAATGTAGTATTTAAAAAAAACATTTTTTTTTTAAACTTAAGCACTACAAAATAAAGAGTGAAAAAAGTCTGTCATATCATATTCTTTCTGGTTCTGGGAGAGTAAGAAAAAGGATCAGCCCCCGTTCTGAGATAACTTAATAGCTCTTAAACCAAATATGACATTTATATGAAGTAACATTTCATGAAGTGAATAAATCAGAAAAGAAATAAATGCTGCATTTAAAATAGATTGTTCATGTTTATGCATTTAGCAAACGGTTTAATCCAAAGCTACTTACAAAGTAGATTGAAAGATTTAAAAGGCATCTTTTACTAGGTCCCGTCTTTACTAAATGGATCAAGCTGTTATGAATGTCTAATCGGGGAATGTCAGTCTTTTTTCTGTTTGTGGTTTCCTACCATCATTTGGACCTCCAAACTCCAAAAACGTTCAATGCCGTTGGAGTTTGGTCAAGTTTGGGCCCGTACAAAACAACACAACCAAACTTTCGCCTCATTCGACAATGTAGACGTGCCCGTTTCCACGGTAACGCCACAAACCCAGCGGCTTTGTGATTCAATCTTGATTTATTTATTTACTTCCTGGTTACTTGATACTTGAAATAAGGTCACTTTCGTCAATTTCTACCCAGATTTTGGGGAATTCTTCGAGCTCGTCGCACTTCCGTCGTCACGTTCTCCTCAAAATAGTTTAAAATTCCTTTTCTTTTCCTTTTACGGTTGCGAGGTTGTCATTAGGGCTCTCGTACGGCCTTTTCCCAAACGCACCTACTAGGCTATATTCGTCTTTTTTTTTTTTTTTTTTTTTATTTTTTTTAACTCAACTCAGTCGTTTTCCATCCCAGATAGGTTCGTGACCGTAAATCATCCCAGAAATGATATTGCACTTCAGGTTATTGCGTTTTTAAAACCGTCGGCCTTGAAAAGTCCACCATCTTTGAATTTAATGTACTCAAATCAATCAAATTTGACTGGATCTTCAAACAATAAGATGCAATTTGTGTGTCTTTGACCTATGTATGATGGGTCAAAGATTTTTTTTTTTACTTGATTTTCTCCGTTTTACGTTATTCATAGTTCACATTGTGGCCCCATCTTTACATTTTCTTCATTTTACAAGTTTTTGAGCATTTCATTCATCCACTGCTCACTTAAAATCCCTTCAGAGATGAGATCTCAACCTCTAAGATAAACCATAGTGTTGTCTTTTGTGTTTTTATCTGTGTATTTCCGTTCATTTCTCTCTATCCAATCATCCGGGGGGGGACAATTTGCCAAATATTAATTTTGTATTTTATGAGCGTGTATTTCTCGTGTTTTCTAATCATTTTATGTATCTTTAAATAAATAATTGCAAAGCATAATAATCAGTTTTTTTGTCTTGGCTCAATTTCTGATCTTTGAAATCTTTCGTTGAAAACATTGAAAACAGAGTATTTATTTTTGATCAAAAGAAAATGGATTATGTGATGTCTAAGATGTTGCTTTCAGAATAAAGAACACTTGAGAATGTGATCAGACTGGGTGAGGTGGTTGGAAAGGGGTGTGTTGACACTTTGCTCGTCCTTTATAGGAAACCAGGAGGATTTCCTTATTCACTATTTCCTGAATGAGTCTCAGGTGTCACATTTCTCCTTTTTTTTTTTTTTTTTTTTTTTAACCGACCGCAGCCAATTTAAAAGATTTTTTGTTGTGTCAAAGAACTTCGTCAGAGCTTTCGACAAGCTAAATCTAAATTTATTTGTAACGGATCAAATACAGGATGAATGAGCTCATCCACGCCACAATGCTGTGCATTTTGTATAAAATAAAATATAAAAAACGGTAGGTTAGGTAACTTGGTTGAATATTTGTGTTAAAGTCAGGCTGAACATTAAAAAAAAAAAAAAAAAAGACATGAATTGGCTTAGTTTTCTTGGTTGTCAGTACAAAATGGTTTAATTTAGAATGGGAACTATCCATTTCAAAGTAAAAAAATTTAAGAAAAAAAACTTCATGCCATCAGAGCTGCTTGAAGAGAGATATGACAATTAGAATCTTCTTTTGATCAGAATCCACAGTCTAAAGTTTCACAATAATCAAAGTACAGAATTTTGGGAAAAAGCAACGTGCCAAAATTAAGGCTTACATAAAAGCAACGCTGTTATTTGTTCTTAAGCTCAGCCCTTTAAAATCCGACCTACCCTTGGCTGCAGACAGTGGAAAATAACTGGTATTTCGTGCTTTTCCTCACGCTGAGCCTGCCTTCTCTCCACATTCTTCAGGCCTAAATTAAAGCGGCGATAGCTGAAAATGCTACGCACTTTCCTTTTTTACTAAAGACTCATTGTGTGGAGAGTTAGTCATACACTGCAGCCTAGTGGAGACTGTTTGGAAAGCACCTTTTTTAGCAGCAAAACTAAAGAGGGGGGGGAAACAAAGCTGCAGAGATCAAAATTCCACTAAAACATGGAAAATGTGGATAAATTACCTTTGCAATTTTCGTCTATTGTTTTTTTTATATGCCATTCTGCGTGTTTTTTTTAATGTAAAATCTCTTTTCAGACAAATAACCCCAAAGAAAAGCTGCAACAAACAACAAAATTTACTCTACATTTACATTCAAATTGAATAAAAAATAATCACTACTATGAATCTTAGTGGAATTTTAATGCTTGACAACTTCTCAAGGGGGCTTTAAACTACTTGTCCAGTTTCCAGGATGGGTTATCTGTCCAGGTGGGGGTATCTGCCCCCGAATAAGTGCGTCAGGAGAGACTCCAGACGACCGTGAGAGCGGCCATGACGCCGTTGAGGACAGGAACGCCGTAACCCAGCGGGGAGCCGCGGCCGAAAACGTCCCTGCGAGGAAAGACGAGTCACCGGACGGGATCTTTTACGAAAACGAACAAACGTCGGACCATTTACCTGTAGTTTGGGACTGTCGGGGGGGTCTGAGACACCAGGCCGGGCTGGTGGGAGTCCAGGTAGAAAAGAGTCCACGAGAAGACGGAGCAGACGCAGCCGACCAGTACCGACAGCACCAGGATGCTCCAGAAACCTGAGGACACCAAAAAAAAACCTTTCACAGTCAGAACTTTTTAAACTTCCAAGCACATTCGAGACTGAAAAAGAGCAGCCCTTATGATTGTTTTCTTCTTTTTTTTTGCCTAAAAAAGGAAATAGCTTGGGGATTTTCACACAAATATAACATTAAAGTATTAAATGAAAATCTGTTGGCATTATTACATATTATTTTACAAAACTGAAGATAGTTCTTAAATAATTTTCTAATTTCTAACTTTTCAAACCTCCGAGCAGATTGGAGGCGGAGAAGAAGCAGCCCTTATGATAATTTTCTTCTTTTTGTATTTTTGCCTAAAAAAAAAATATCTTGGGGATTTTCACACAAGTAGAAAATTTAAAAAAGTATTAAACGAAAATCTTTTGGCATTATTACACCATTTTTACGCATTATAAAAAAAAACTGAAGGTATTTCTAAGATAATTTTCTAATAAAAATTATACTGAAAGTAAACACTCACTCATAAAATTATAACATAAAATCAGAAAAAAATGCTTCCTAAACGTTGAATATTCAAACCATGAATCATCTCTAAAAAATAATTTTAGTTCTTTTCAACCAAGCCAAAAAAGGTCATAAGGCTTAAGAAATAAATATGATTTTTTTTCCAGAACAAAAGGTGGACAAAGTGTATGTGCATCTAAATTTGAAGATAAAATATTAAAAATAAGGAATTAATCCGTGGGGATCAACACTCACCTCAAAATAAGAAGAACATTTAAAAAGTATTAAACGGAAATCTTTTGGCATTATTTCTCCATTATTACGTATTATAAAAAAAAAACGGAAAGTAGTTATTACATAATTTTCTAATAAAAATTATACAAAAATTATAACAAAACATCAGAATTGCTTCTTGAATATTCAAACCATGAATCATCTCTAAAAAAATACTTTTAGTTATTTTCAACCATCCCAAAATAAAGGTCAAAAGGCTTTAAAAATCAATATGTTTTTTTTTTCCAGAACAAAAGGTCAACAAAGTGTATCTAACATTGAAGATTAAATCTTAAAAAATTCTGACTTAATCCGTGGGGATAAACACTCACCTAGCATCCTTTCCTCTGTCCCGTCCTCCGCCACCACCCTCTCTGCTCTCAGCTCTGAAACGGCCCTCGGTCAGCCTCAGGGTTCATCTTCCAATTTTGATTTTCGGTGTGCACGCGCACTTACCTTTAATTACCGGGTAAACCAGGGCACAGAGGGAGCCCACGGAGGCCACGACCGCCGTGGAGCCCACGGCTGACACGGTATCCGCGAGCCGCCCCACGCTCCCAGCGGGTCCCTCCGATGACATCACCTGTGTTGTTGTTTTTTTCTTGTTTTAAATTAATAAAATAATTTCGGTTTGATAAATGTCCCTTTTTTGGTTTACCCCCCTCTACGTTTTTCTTTCGTAACGCATAACAGCTTGCGGACTCACTTTTTCGGCCGACAGCAGGAACTACTTTCTGTCTCCACTTTGGCGAAAAACACTTCCGCAAACTTTTTCCCTGTTGCGTTTCCGTATTCGCAACTTTAACGAAAGTTTTTTTTTTTTCAAACAAGAAAATACTACAAACAATATATTTTGACTTAAATGGGTGTATGCACATTTTATTTTTTAAAAAGAGCAAGATAGTTTAAAAGTTTAAGCAGGAGCCCTACCAGAAAGACAAACATTTGATCAGAAACAATGCAAATGAATAAATAGAATATTTTTTAAAGGATAATCAATTTGAATGGATATTGGATGGATATTACAGGTGGAGAAAAAATGTATATATATATATATATATATAATTGTGATTTCTTTAATCGCTTTTATCGATGTGGCCTAAATACTTGTTGGATGTTTCTGAGTTTTTTTTATTTAATTTAAAAAAACTTTTGTCAGTTTTGTCACGAGCTTCCGGTTTTAGTTTGAAACGACCCAACCGGAAGAAGTGTTCACGTAGGTGTGTTTTGAAGACCAGCGACGACCTCAGACGTCTCAGACGCAGAAGATAGACTCAGAACGTCTCCACGAAACCGGTAAATAAATAATTCATCTTTTTCTGTAACTTCGAAGCATTTCTTACCCTTTTTTTTCTGTGTAAAATTCAACAAGCATGCGCAAGAGCCCCTCCTGCTTACATGCCCTCTGTTTGTCTGTCGAAGGGCTCATATGTTGGGAAATTGAGTGTTAAAATGAACAGACATTAGCTAAGCTAAACGCACACAAAGGCCAATTCCACTCTAACGTCGAAGTCTCGTGCGGCTAAATTAGACCCCCACGGATCTGTTTGTTTTCGTTGGGCCACCTGACCGTGGTGGGCGCGAGGCTGTGACAGCCGACGCGTTTTTTTTTTGCTTAGCAACGTCAGACAGCTACCGCAGCTATGCTAGCCCCGTTTTGGCTTTCCCACAGCTAAAAAAAATCGCTGACTTTTGACAACGACAGGAAAAGGGACCGAGTAGCTTCACGGCCAGCTTCTGTGTCGCTCCCTGAATAAAAACACAAGCCTTTTTAAAGCCCATTTTAACCCATTTGACGTTGAATTCCTTATTAGTCTTCTTGTTTTTTATGTAAATCCATTGTGACATGCACTAGCCCCTTAGATACAGGTTTGTTTTTGTTGTTTTAATCTTATGTGGACATTTGTTGTATAAACCGCCTGTGAAAAGACTAGTCCCTGGAAATTATGTGAGCTTTATAGGTTGTCCAGGCCCCTCTTATGGACCTCTAATCTTCCATCTAAATTTACTGATTTGTTGGGAGCATCAGAGATTCATTTAAAAGAAAAAAAGAAAGAAGAGGACTTGGCTGGAATTTTCTCCCTGTCTATGTTTTTGTCCCAGTAAATGCTTTAGACGTTGTTTACTACCCTGCCCCACACCTAGGTTGCAAACTAGGCGGCCAACATTTTTCGATTGCTCTTCTTCCCTCGCCTTCTAAGTGAAAACAGGCACTGGATCCTTTCATAAACGGTGTGTCTGCTGTACGGGACGCCATCCTCAAACATTGACGCTTCTGGACAGGTGTTACGCTTCAGTGGAACAACGCACACTCCCTTATTTGTATCTGGATAAGTATAGCCAAGAGTTCAACTTCTGAAAAGACAGATCTGTTTATTTAACAAGGTATCCAATCAAAATCAGTATAGAGACACTGTCTGAACAAGTACATTGTTTGTACATTGTGAAAGTCTCATCTCGTTCTGAGAACCTGGTATTTTGTCTTGTCTCCTCTTGTGAGGTGTCTAGTGTCTCATCCCAACCCTTGTAAACATATTTGTAGTTTACAGAGGGTAGACGGGATTTGTTAGGATGGTTGGACGGGGTTGCCAATTTAGGGTCCGGTGTAATTATGTATGTGGAATGAGGATATAAAGAAAAAACTACTTTCAACAGTAAAGGCAGCATCATTTGATGCCCGGTGAAAAGAGAAGGCGTGCACTTTGTCGTTGCATGAATTTTTCATGGCTATTGATACCCACCGGCATGACATGAAAGCCTCTATCTTCTTGTGTCAATCAAAAGCAAATTACTCTGGTTATGACTTGTAATCACTGAATCACTTTGTAAAGAATGCTGACATGTAAACAGGAGTTAGACAAAGAAATAAGTGAAAAATTAAGCTTAGATCCTGTCTAATTTGAAATGATCCCAGGTCGAGTTAATGGAATATTTTTAACCCAAAAGTACCATATGTATCATACTCGATAAATACAGTTTTTGAAATCCTTTGCACGTAAGACCTTTCTGCATCATTTGGAGTTGAAAACTTTCCTCAAAACCCTTGGCAGAAGACTACACGACAATAATTTTAACTTATTGCATAGTAATAAATGATAAATATTCCAAAAATGGTTTCTTTTTATTCTTTACAATATTTTTGTTAAGCTGCCAAATAAAGAATTCAGAATAGAAAATATAAAATTTTCTTTTTCATACATCAGGCTTTAAAGGGTTAAAACATTTATCAGGCTAGATACTGACGGTTTAAAACAGATTGTCTTTAGTTGCTTCTGTATTCCACTGTAGTTCCATAAAATTGTTATGGGTGTGGCCACTATTGTGACTTGTTTTAGCAACTTGACATTTCAGATAAATTGCAAAGAATTATACTTTTACAGCTTAATAACCATAGTTCACTCTATTTCATCTGATTTTCCTGAACAGAAAGATCCTAAATCAATTATTGAATTACTTTGTTCACCTTTTTTTCTCATCTGGTTTACGAGCATTGACTGAGTTTACTAAGATTTATCTCAATAGTTCCACAATAATTGCACACCAGAGTATGACAAATGTCTAGATAAGGGCATAGTTTTTGTATATTGTGGATATTTATATCTTTATAGAGCGGGAAACCGAGATCCAATCACAAATTAGGAAGCATTTTAACAGCAGACGTGAACATGTGTACACAACAGACGTCCACTTGTGACCCTATGACAGAAACCAGGAGGCCTGTGAACACAAATACCCGTATACATCTGCCTTAAACATGCCGGTTGAAGGCTTTTTAAATCCTTTAAACGAACACCATCTGGTGTTCTGTGGAAGACAGAATGTCAGCAGAAAATCCCAGCTTCCCTGAACCACATCAGCCCCAAGACATCTGGTAGCCTTTTCGCTTTTTAACAAAACGTTGGAAGAGCTAAAGTCGTGTGTAGAAACCGGTCATGAGTCAGGCAGTCAAATGCTGTGACCTTCATGGACCTCCTGTGTAAGCACGGGGGGGGGGGGGGGGGGGGGGGGGGGGGGGGGCCTGGAGCACACACACAGAAGGGAAAACGAGGAAGCTTCAAATGCCTGCGTAATTAAAAAAATCCTCCCCCACAAAAAAAACCTTATGCCGGATTCTTTGATGTCAGATAAGCGCGTTCACATTTGCTTTTTGCTTTTGCTCGGTCGGCGGAAATAGGCTAACCCGGTTGCCTGGTTAGAAGCAATATTTATTTAAAGCAACATGCTGTCACCCTGCATAACATCACACTAGCGAGAGAAGACGTGTGTGCATGTTACAGAAAGAAAAGGAAAAAAAACGTGGGGGTTGGGTTATAAGGGGAGCAGAAACATGGTCGATGTCAGAGGAGGGGAAGGGCGATAGCGTCATTAATTCGACGGCGTTCCAGAACGCATCGGTTTCGGGTTTGCCGAGTGCCACATTATGTTGTCGGATCCGCCGGAGGCGTCGTTAGTTTACATACTCTAGTTGTCACAGAGGAGGAGAAAGCAGCGAGAGGGGGCTGATTATCAGCATTATCAGCCCTTATCCGGATTCTTTTGCTCTCTCAGTAGAAAGCAAGCTTTCCTAAAAGACTTAAGAACCTTTGGGTGCTTCATCCTCCAAGGCACAGAGCAAAGATATAGATATAAACAAAGAGAAATAAACTGTCACTTGGAGGAGTGACGTTAACTTGTTTGATCACTGGCTTTCCCAATCTCTTGGCGGTTTCTTAATAGGTGTACTTGTCTTTGCTTTTGGGTTTGCGAAACCTCGTCAATGGCAGACCCAAGTACTGTCCCAATTCAAAGTACACATCAAGTCAAGTACTATCACACAACCAGAATTGGAATCACAAAAAGCATATTCTGATTCTGTGTACGCGTTTTTACCAAGGAAGTATTTGGGAGGTGGTTTATATGCAGTTTGGCCATCTTAGTATCCCTTAAGTACACATTTCCGACCTGTTAGTATGTACTAGCAAGGCCACTGGTACTTTAAATAATGAAAAATGTCAAAAACCATTACAGTTGGATAGTTATCCCGTGATTTTAACTCATACTTCTCCATGAAATGTGCACCCAACACATGCTTCATCTAACTGGTTGTGTAAATTGTACACAAGAGAACTTTGCCATGTAGAACCTTTAGTAATACCCCCGTGCTCCTCTGATTTCTGTTCAGAAAATATCAGAAATGATCAGAAAACCCTCAAATTATAAACTAATTCTAAAATGAGACATTCAATTGTTTCAACTGGTAACATCCAGCACATAAAAATCGTAGTTTTCTGTTTAGTTTTTTTTCTCACAAGAACTAAAAGATCACGCCATCTGTTTGCTTTGAAGGATTTCCTCTAAATCTGATCGTCGGGGTTGACGAGGCAAACTAAAATGCATGACCCACCCTGTTCATTCTCACCCAAAATCTTGACTCTGAGCTGGCGGCCAAACCAGGAAGTGAGCTTCAGAGGCCGTAGATGAAAGTCAGTCCATATTGCAAGCTTTTTACGGGTGTTTTCTTTAGTCTTTACTGGAGCTTAAGCCATGGGTAACTGTCTTATAATAATCTTTAATGGTTCAAACCATTTAAAAAAACGGCTGCTGCCTCTGTTCTTTTCTGCGCTGCTCAACATTTGGCGATGTGACGCATTTTTATTGGCCTTTGGGTTTTCTTTTTTTGTGTGTACGATCATTGTTGTCTTAAAAAGTCCAAAAGGTAACGTCTGGCTACTCTGGTTTCGACTTCTTGTGAATGTTGGAGCCGTCTCTTATTCAGGAACATGCCCGACCACTTCAGCTAACACTGCACGCTGTGTCTGCTTAGGCTAAAAATACACTTTTTAAAAATTCTCTTTATATGGTGGTAGCAATTATTTCCTCCCAGTTCGAGTGTCCCGGTGGGGGACCGGGACCTTTCTGTGTGGAGTTAGTATGTTCTTCCTGTGTCTGTGTGGGTTCTCTCGGGGTTCTCCAGCTTCCTCTCAACATCCAAAAACATGCATGACACTCCAAATTGCCCATAGGAGTGAGTGCGTGTGGTTGTTTGTATCTGTGTGACCCTGCAATGGACTGAATGTGTGAATTCTTAATGTGTTTCTATGAATTTTCTGGGCTTCCATTGCAGTTGTCTGAGTATCTGCATTGGAAATCAGCCAGTAGAAAAAGTCATTATGGAACTAATGGACATGAGCTTTCTTGTAGCCCATTTTAAAATGAGTTAAAAGCAAGCAACAGCGTAACTTCTTGGGAAAGGGGGAGTCCAAACCAAAAGTGGAAGGCCCAACACTGGTCTAATTCGCAAAAACGTCTGGTTTTGAGGTTTCCCTTTTTCCTTTTTTTATTTATTTATTTATTTATTTTAATTTTTTTTGGCTCTAGTGGCTTTTAATGACAGTAGCTTGACAGGAAAGAGGGCAGAGATAGAGAGGGGGACACCTGCGGGAAAGGGTCGTGGGCCGGAATCGAACCCAGGCCGCCCGCTAATGAGGAGGTCCTCACACATGGTCCGCCCGCTGTAGCCATTAGGTTACGGCTGCGGCCCCCCTTTTTCCTTTTTTAAAGGACTGTATTTGCCTGACATAAAGCAAAGAACAGCGATTCTTGAAAACCCCTAAAATATCTGTTTTCTTAATCGAGCCATCTCTACAACATTTTGGCCGGTTTATGTAAAAGAGTCGATTCAGCCTTGTGCCATTTGCCCAGTTGGTAAAAAGGGGGCCGTATTCGTCCCCTCCACATCATCTCCAGCCAACACATAAGATGTGAAAGCTGTCACTCTGCTAGTTCATCACGCCTGTCAAAAAAAATCCTGGTGTTATTTTTGTAGATCACCACCAGAGTTCAGTCTACCGGAGAAGACATATTTTCTAATTGAACCCGTCTATTCGATACCATTTTGACCCCCTATTTTTGGTGTAGCTACATTCTGGTACAAACACACGGAAAGTTAATTTAAAATGTCAATTGCTTATTATTTTCTTGTCTAAATTTTTTGTCTAAATAGGTTATCAGTATGTTCAGTTACTTTTCATGTTATTTTTTCTGTTGACTTACACGATGGTTTTAAGTAAATGTTTAGTATTGTGGATATGTTTTATGATCACAAAAACAATCATCCAATACAAATTCTCTCCCTTTTGCTGGCATAATTTTATTCCTTTATGCACTCTTTTAATCTCAATCTCTGTTTCAAGTTGACCAAAGCGATTAGCCACAGGGAAGCGTTGAACTTCCTCCGAATGACATTCTTGCTAAAGAAATATTCAAATCTATAGCATTTCCCAATCATCTCATATACTTCTGTGTCTGGCAGCCCCATGAGACTTCCTTCCTTTGTCATTTCTACAATTTATAAACTGAAACGTTCCCTATTTTGGTAGAAAAACCTGTAAATGGTGTCTGGCAGACCTGAGATGTTATTTGTCTCTTTGCAGGCTCCAGCTCCTTGTGCGTGCGTGTGTGTGTACGGACGCATGAGGCCGAGTGTCTGACTCGCCACCGTGCCACATTTTTCCGAGAGAGGCCGCGTTCAGCGCCGCCATGTCTTCCGACCTGCTGGTAGATTTGGGGGAAGACCCCGCCACCGCCCAGCTGGGACAGCTGAAGCTGGCCACTCTGGAGGACCAGCAGTGGCCGGCAGATGAGACCCCGCTGAGCAAGTCAGGTGAGAGGGGGTTCCCTTCACGATGTCCATTTTTATTCGTATACTACTAAATGTCCCCCTAGACACTTGAAAGATACAATCCAATTCCCTGTAATGCTATATAAATCCAATAATAGCACCTCACCTGAGCCATCCCTCAATATAAACTTTGTTTAAGGCCAAATCTTGAATTACATCACATTCACATGCCGTTTAACTCATTGACTGCCAGCCATTTTCAGAACAAAGTCCTATACTGCCAGAGTTTTTTTAGCATTTTGACTGATTTTTCAAGAGCCACAGAACAGTTTGTGCTATGACTATGTAAACACCGAACACACCAAAAGAAAGAGTAGACTCTCTTCTTTCATAAAGAAAAACAATTTGTTTCTACCTTATTCCGTTCTTCCTCGACTTGCGTCTCACCGGCGACATGTTCTCTCATAGCAAACCGTTACCTTTTTCTTATTTGCCTACAATCTATGCTCATCTCCCATCAAAAGTGACACTGCCACCTAGAGGGTCAATTTGTAAGTACATACTCTGTCTAGAAGCCGATATTTACGGACAAGCTTTAGCAGATCGTCCCCCAAGCCACTCTCGTTGAAAAACATAAAAGACGTCTATAGACGTCTTTGGCAGTCAACGGTTGTATTTGAATTGTCGTCTATAGACGTCTTTGGCAGCCAATGAGTTAACATAAAATAATATAAATAATTGTGTTCATGCTTTCATTTTGACCAGTCTATGTGCTCTCACATCTGTCTGCTTCCAGAGACAGATGTTTCCCAGTGTTTCGACGCCGGGTCGCCCCACCTGCCCTGGGACCATCCTTTCTACGACATCGCCCGGCATCAAATCATCGAGGTGGCAGGTCAGCTCAGCTCAGTTCATTTCCTCTCCCTCCCGCTTCGAGTCGTTAATATTGAAATAATATCTCTACGGCGTTAACATTGGATTGCTACCCCGGCAGGTGACGACAACTTCGGCCGGAAGGTGATCGTGTTCAACGCGTGCAGAATGCCCCCCCACCACCAACTGGACCATCACAAGCTGCTGATGTGAGTCACAGAGAGCCCCTCTACTATCAGCCCAGAGCCACACAGAATTAAAACATATTTACACATATAGAACATATTTAGAACATATATTTAGAACAGAATTAGAACATATTTATCAGATGTTCCGGGGTGGAGTCATCGTTAAATGTTTTAAATTGAATCTAATCCATCTTTTTTAATCGCATTGAAAGTTTCTACAACACCATTGGGGAGGTTTTTAATTAGACGCCATTGTACAGGATGAAAGCCCAGCAAAAGGTCACAAACTTTAAGACGGTGAAAAGAAAAGCTACAAGAAATCTAAATTCCAGAGCTCTTGTTTGAAGATACAGCAATCTCACCCTAGTATGCGGCAACAACAGAAAGCCTCACAAGCCCCCCAGTTAAAAAGCTATTAATTAGACCATGATAAATCAATGAAAGGCTCTAATCCAAGCTAAAAAAAAACACAACGGAGGCCTGCAGCAATATCATGTACATTTGTTACATATTAAACTAGATTCACGAAAATCAGAAGGAACATCTTAACACCCCAAAATAGTCAAACTGAACATGATTTCATTTTATATCAATTTACTCTTTTGCTCCTCTGTAGACCTCAAAGAGAGACAGAGAGCCTACTTTTTTTTTACCGTTACACATTGGATTTCCAAGGTTCCGAGGTTATGTTCCTGAACTGTGCCTGTACATAGTTAATTAATTTAATTATTACTCCATTCATCGACATTTTCGCAGGTATCTCAAAGGAACGCTGGACCAGTATGTGGAAAGTGACTACACTCTGATCTACTTCCACCACGGGCTGACCAGCGAAAACAAGCCATCCCTCAGCTGGCTCCGAGATGCATACAGGGAATTTGACAGAAAGTAAGTGTACTAATGTTTTGACGAGACACTGCATCATAGCTGAGAGGACTCTTCATCTAGACCTCCATTTTTCACTTTAAAGCTAAAAAAATGCCCAATAAGTCTAATTTTACCTTAGATGCAGCAGCCAGGGCAAGCGTTGCTTTTTGGCCCATTTTATATTAATAAAACCCTTTCATGACACACTTGCTCCTTTTCACTAAATCCATTTTGTTTTTTGTTTCCAGGTATAAGAAGAACATTAAGGCCCTCTACATCGTCCATCCCACCATGTTCATCAAGACCCTCCTGATCCTTTTCAAACCAATAATCAGGTTCTCTTATATATATAAATCAGCTTGTTATTCTTTTTAGGAGGACTTGGATTTACTTATATCACATGACATACCGCATTATACAGTAAACCTAAGAGTGTACTGGCAAAAAAATTATGCTCAGCTACATTTAGCATTTAGCTTTTTCACAGACGTCCAGTTTGGGAGGATGTTTTCTCTATTTCAAACAGGCCTTTTATGAATATAGATGACAGACTACTGTCCACTCTTTTGCAGATACAAAGTAAAGGCAAAGTAATGTTAGAATTGATTAAGATTTCAAGCTGAATTCTCCCTTTTAGCCACAAATTTCAGCCAATTGACTGGGCTTTGAAATGCATCGAAACATAGCATTCAACCTCTAAAACTTTAGTTTCTGTTGAGGAATGGTGAAAAATTAATAGAATTTGACATCCTAATCAATAATCTTCCATATTTCTTATTGTTAAACAGTTTATTTACCAGTAACAATATACATTTGCCTAAAGACCTTTTACACACTGCTGTTTTAGCTAATACCGAAACACCAAATTATTATTTTTTTAACTAATGTTGTGTTTTAGTGGTGAAATAGATTTGTAAAGCACTTTATATAAAACAATTCTTTTACATTGTCAGAGACATAAGCAAACTTTTGACATTATCACTGTCGGAATGCTATTCTAACTCCTACTGAACAATGACCGGTATGTTTGAAAAGCCCCCCCTTATCAGTTCTACTGGTAAGAAAACAAAGATTAGAGTTTGAAGCATGTCTGGATTTTAAGAAACATTGTCCCCTGCTGGTTAAAGCCATTATTACCGTTTGTCATTTGAAAAATATAGGAAGGATGAACGTGAATAAGAAAATTCTGGTTTCATAAGTTTGAAGCTGACTCCGTCTCTCTCTGTTTTAGCTTTAAGTTTGGACGAAAGCTCAACTACGTGAGCTATCTGAGCGAACTGGAGGACGTGGTCAAGTGTGACCAGCTGCTGATTCCCGCACGTGTCAGAGAGTACGTTTTTGTTATTTTTTCCCCCCCAAAATTGTTTTTAAATTCAACAGAATTAAATTTTTCTTTGTTTTTGTTTTGTTCTCTCCGATATTATTTACATTTGAACAACTTCTCGTGCTAAACTTAATCCTTATTACACATTCATCTGAACGATTTCGATTGGATATTTATGTTCATGTTTGGAATCCAGACATTTTACCTCTAAATGCACTGCAATTAATATCTAACATGGTCTGCATCAGGTATGACAACAAATTGAGAGCGTCTTTGAAACCGGCCACTCAGCCCCCGACGTCTCCTCTTCATAGTCCCCCGCTTCCCGGTCAGGTGTTCGGAGTTTCACTCACGCTGTGAGTAACACTCACCTGTTTTTTTTTCTTTGCTATCGGTTGGACCATCGGTTGTTCTTTTCTGTGTTTGCCTATCCAAACGTGTGTTTGATGTGAACCTTAGGTTGAGACAGAGGAGCCCAGACGATGACCCGGTGCCCGTGGTAATGAGAGATACCATCAGCTTCCTTTCAGAACAAGGTAAACGGACAAAAGGACTGTCCAATTATTCACAAAGCGCTCTATCACACCACATTTCATCTCTCGGCACCAATTAAATGGACTTAGAGTTTAAACTCATTGTAATACAGTCAAAGTTAATCAAATTCCCAACATGTCCAATTCATATAAAGCCAATTAAGAGAGAAATATTCCAACCTGACCATCAGATTTAACTGATTCTTGTCTTCAACACAAATCCACATCCATGTACGTGTTCAAGGCCTCTGTGGAAGGCGTCTGTGAGTGGAAAAAAAACTATTTTAATTAAAAAAAAACATTGACATCACTATAAGCCACTATAAGCTGGAGTTTCTTGGTGTTGATGCTAGGTTTTTTGGTCTGTTAGTGAGACAAAATCCCCAACAACACTAAAATCGAGAGATTTTGACGAAGAGAGTGACTTTTAAAATCACTTTCATGCCATCACTAAATATAAGCTGCATCTAAAAGGAAAGTAAATGTTAAAGGTAGAGGGTTCCATAAGAGAGAGGCCTAAAAACTGAAGGCCATGCCTCCCATTTTACTTTTACAAAGTCAGGAAAAACACAAGGACAGCCTCAGTCAGAGCATGGTTCTCTGCTGGGAAAATATCTGATTATGAGCTCTGTAAGATCCAATGGAGTTTGGCTCATTCAGAGCTTTATCCTGTACGTGAGGTTACTTCATCTTGCTTTTCTGTGTTCGCTCGCGGCAGGTTTGGAGATCGAGGGGATCTTCAGGCGGTCTGCCAATGTGACGCTGGTGAAGGAGGTCCAGCTCAAGTACAACTCAGGTGGGATTGATGGGCCAGTCCGAGCCCTTAATGGAGATTTAATCACCACACTGCCTCGTCCTTGTGCCCTGTGAAGCGACACGTTCGAATTCCAATCGGCTTATATGCCTTTATGGTCCCGTCTTATGACTTAAGTTCTAATTAGAACTGTCAATTTCATTTACACATTTTTGTTCAGATATACATTGTTGTTTTTTGTTTTTTTCATTCTGAGCACCATACAAAATTCAATTTCCCCACAGAGGGAGGGATAAGGCATTTTTTCTATTTTGTTCTAGTAAACTCAAAATTAACCAAAAAATGTTCGCTTAAAATTTTACACACCAATCCAAATGTCCCCAATTCATTTATTTTTTATCCACTTACTCTTTGCCAGTCCGGATTTAGTCCATTTTACACTCACTTGAAATTCAAGATATCAAATGAGCGTACAATGGTACAAAGGAAAAAAAGGGAAAGGAATAAAACTGGCTATCTTCGTGTGCTTTTTAGGCGAAACGGTCAATTTCAGCGAGATGGAAGACGTCCACCTGGCCGCCGTGATCCTGAAGACGTTTCTGAGGGAGCTGCCCGAGCCTCTGCTGACCTTCCAGCTCTACAACGACATCGTCAACTTCACCTGTAAGCTTAAAAAATTCTAATAAAATAGGCATAGGAGAGCCAGTTCTGAACAATTACTCCTCTTGTAAAATTCACTCTTGGTCCAGAAATAAAAACCTGTTTTTTTTTTTCAATATTTCTACTGACAGATGTTTGAGATATTGAAAGAAACGCTGAAAATAACCCAAAATAAACTCCAGTTTTTGAAAAATTTTTAGATAACCGTCATGGGAAATGCCATCGCCATATATTTTCTTAATAAAAGCAGCTCCATTTCAGTTTTTTTTAGTCCAGGCCTTTTTGCTTTTGCCTGGTCTTTGGTTTGCCAAAGTGACCTTTCCATCGTCCACATTCTTTGGTCGTAATTGTGGACTATCTTTTCCCGGTCACCGGCCAAAGTTCCAGGAACTCGTGTTTCTGAGGCGTTCGCGCTAGGAAAATTCCCGTTTTTCCCCCCGAACGCCTCGAGGATTTATGATCTCTAATCAGCGTCTGTGTTTGGCTCCCTTTAGCCGTGTCCAGCGACAACCAAGTGGACGTCATGAGAAATCTGCTGGACTCCCTCCCAGAGGAAAATCGCGCCTCGCTGCGATACCTCATCACGTTCCTGGCACAGGTGCTCCGGTCAAACCACCTCCTGCTCATTTAAACCTCTTTTTTTTTTAATATCGTATCTTAAACTTTGACCCACTCTGTCTGGATTTTAGGTGTCGGCCAACAGCGAGGTGAACAAGATGACCAACAGCAACCTGGCCGTGGTGTTCGGGCCAAACCTGCTCTGGGGGCGGGACAACGCCATGTCGCTCAGCGCCATCGGACCAATCAACAACTTCACCAGGACCCTGCTGGACCAGCAGCATTTGATCTTCACCTAATCGTCATTTCCCCCCCGATCTTAAGCTTCCCTAAACTTTCGACCCGTGGGTATCTCATTGAAACATCACAGAGTTTCATTTAATCTCTTCCGGTTATTTCTGTTTTTTTTCTTCTTACAAATAGTTTGAATGGAAGTTGAAGGACATGGAACTGGCGTGGCAAAAAAATACAGCAACTTATAAGCGTTTGAATTATTATCTTTAAACCTTTGAGTCTCGACTAAGCAGGGGGTCAGTTCAACAATTAGGAAACTAATTATTCACTTCCTGACTTCCATTCGCCGCCGGTTCCAATCCCTTCTCCTTCCACGAATTCCATTTTTTCCTCACAACACAGTGGCTGGCTCTTAACTTTTCCCCCCCAAACATCGAGAATTTAGTTAAACATATGCAACTCTCTTTTTCGTTTCTCTACGTATAGTGTGATGTGCCATTTTCTATGTCGTGCCAAAAAAAACAAAAAAACAAAAAGAAGTTGCTTCTCAAACATGACCAAACATCCTCGACGGGAGGTGTCACTCAACTGAAGGAAAAGGGGGGAGGGGGGAAAGGGGGGGAGAGAGTAGCAAGGTGTGAATCTCAGGTTTGCTTAAAAATTGTGACCATGGTACCAAGTTGTGTGGACAATCTTTCTGAAATCCTGTCGTTTGAATAGGACGCGTGCTGGACGTTGCCTGTTTTAACCTTTTTATTTTTTTATTTTCATCCCCCGTACAGACTGTAAAGCACTCGCTGTGACCACATGGGGGGGGGAACGGTGGCTAAATTCCCCCAGTGGTTCGCCATGGGGTATATAGGTATGTCCATATGCTGCTGTCCGAGCCCCGTTTAGCCGGTCAGAAACGGGTGGAGTCCGGTCTCTCGCCACTTTTTCTCGACATGTCACAGGCTAAGACCCTCCAAGCGGTGAAGTCGAACAAAATTCCAAGTATTTCCATCCTCGCAGGCAGCTGATTTGCGCAGGGGAGACGGGACGAGGCCCGGTAGGCGAGTTCACATAAACGGTTCTCGTCTTTGTGTTGGGCAGTTGGTTGTATCGTTGTCCAGCTGGCATATTCGGCCTTTTTTTGAATTGCGAACGTCGTGCGGCCCGAAAAGCAACACGATTCTTAATCCATTCTTTCATTTTCCATAGGACAAGATAGAAAACCTCCGTCATCGTCATAGTTGCCTTATATTTTGTTATGTGTTGTGCCACTATAAGCCGGAGTTTCTCCAAGTCGTGTAAAGGGTTTCCCGGCGTCTGTCTTTGCGATGCTAGGTTCCTCGGTCGGTTAGTAAGCCAAAATCCATTGGAAGCGCTTAACTCCGTGCATTACAAACGACACATCCGTGGAAAGAAAGACAGTCTCGCGACCACAACTGAGTGTTTAGCCTTTTTTTTTTTTTTTCAGAGTGGCTGAATTTCCGCAAGCTACAAGTTTAAGTCAAGTTAGCTTATTGTAGCTTAAATATTCGTTAACACTAGTGCTGCTTAAATCCAATCAGCTCACAGATCTAACATGCCTACCCACTACATTTCCTAACTGTTCCTTGAATTTTTATTATTCATTTTTGGTCTTTTCTTTCCTCCCTGTCTGAGTATTGTTTGCTCAGTTTCAGACCGTTGAGTTTTTTCCAAGTTCTTAGTTTTTCATGGAATATCTCTCTGAGCTCATCCAAGGAAATCTTTCATTCTCAGTAGGAGATAGATAAGTATCGGTGTAATATAACTGCTAAAAATACTCCAAGCGGGTGTCTCAAAAGCACCAAACTACAAGACATTGAGTTTGTCTGAACCTGAAAGCAAAAAAAAACAAACAAAAAACAGCAGCATATTCTGTTTACTCGTTGTGTTTTCCGGCCATGTCGATGCCATGACTATTGTTGTATATGTGTATGTGTGTGCATATGTGTGTGTGTGTAAATACTAAATCTGCTGAGCCCAGCACATTTTGAATAGTCAGAACAAAGTGTTCTATTGTGTTTGAATATGTTCATTAAAAAGAAAAAGAAGAAAGAAAAAAAACCCTTGTCAGTTGAGGCTCGTTTGTGTTAATTAGGTGAAAACGTTATGAGTCCAATATGGTGATAGCTATTATTTCCTCTCACTATATTAAATAAAGTTTCCTCAAATCCATTCAGAAAAACTATTTTTAAAAAAAGAAACAGGAAACAGTCAAAGCACAGAGGAGTTTTATGTGACGGCAGCAACACGTGTGTGTGTGTGTGTGTGTGTGTGTGTGTGTGTGTGCATGCTTGTGCCTTATTTGTGTCCCCTAAGTGGTCCTGTGAATAGCCATCGAAGTGCCAGTGTGCCCATAGATTATTAAAAAAAGAACACGAGAGCACATCGACACCACAGGGGGGGATGTGTCCTGAGGAGGAAAAACACAAAAGGGGAAGAGTTTCCTGTCTAAACTCCTCAGAAATGATCACAGAATTGCGAATTTAACTTCACAAAATGGAGAATGTGTAACTATTTGGGAGGATTACAGCTACTCATCTACTTTATGAAGCCTAATGTGGTGAGAGGTGGACTAAAAAAAATGATGACATCTAAGCTTCTGGACCCAAAGTTGCATTCCCATGTGGAATTAAACCTCTTGGAAACCTTTTTTTGTATTTATTTTTTCATTTTCTTAATTTTCAGCCAAAAATGTGTACTCTAAATTAACCATTCACTGTAATTAGAAGCTATTTTTGTGTTTTTTTTAAAGTATAATCTGTGTCTGTCCTAAAATCATATCATAATTATCATATTCTTTACTTTTTCTAAACATTGTCAACCCCCCCCCACCCCCAATTCTGTGATCGGATACGGTTCCAATAATCTATGGGTCTTTGTAATGTAAGTGTCGTCATGGTGATAGTAAACCCACGGGAGAAAATTTTTTTAATTGTCGTAGAGAATTTTTTTTGGGTTTTCATGACAGTCGGTGATATTATTTTCAGAAAAAAACGTTTTCTTTTCTCTGTCCTTTACTTTTGATAGACAGTACTGTGGACCCCAGTCTTACGCGTATATGAAAAATGGTATTATGCTGTAATGTTGTTGTAAGCAACCAAAATAAATAAAAAAGTCGAATGAAAGCTCGACTGTTACCTTTATTACAAAAGCAGAAGAAGAAGAGGAACTTTTCATTTAAATCTTTTGTCCTTCTGGCTCAAACTGTCTGTTTTCAGGAGGCATAAGATGATAACACATTTTTTTTGTCAACTTTTTAGTACCCTGAAATTAATATTATAATATAAATTACCCTTTACTTTACTTATAAATGGTATAATAGGCCTAGTTAACTTAAAATTATACCTATTTTTTTTTTTAAAACAGCAGAAATGATTAATCATGAGTAACGGAAGCCCATTATTTGAAGCATTATTACAGGTTTTAGGTTTCTATCAAAGTTTTTAGTGAAGAATTCTCCTTTACATCCCATTTGAATGCTTTTATTACCATAAATATGAACTTTTGACCTGAAAACAACAGGAAGGTTAAAAAATAAATAAAAAAAACCTTGTCCTATCTCCATTTGTAACCAACCCGACAGCGTAACCTTAACAACCCAGTAAAAGTTTCTTGGTTTTCGACTGAGTATCGTTCACTTTGACTCAATAGTGGGTTACAATAGCTCTGATAAAGATTCCGAACACCACGCGTATGAATAAGGTCAAATTTTTTGTGGCTTATTTAGAACGATAAAAACAAGAAAAACAACCTTTGAAGAAGGACTGCGTCCAAATCTTGACCTCAGCCAGTCTGGCCGAGTATTGTCCTTTTAGAAATCCTGTAGTGGAATGTGATGCTCACTAGGTGGCAGGCTTACAGCAGCTTTAAGGTAAAAAACTGTACACTAAAATAACATATCTGCATATGTGAAAGACACCTAATTAGGCTCTCTAACTCGGGGATTGAGTCGAGGCAGCGTACTGTAAGTCCAAAGGGTTGGATTAATCTTCAACTCTGCGTTTATGGGATCCCGGTTACCTTCCCCCCCTTTGGAAAAACGCCCTCATCCTATCGCCCGCCGGTGTGTATCAATGTTACATAAGCTCTGGCAAAAAAGCAGAAAGCACACATAATAAAGGTGCAGTCCTCAGGGGTTAACGTCCGTCTTGGACCAGGCTCAAACTTCCAATGGGAGTCAAATATGTAGCCTTTTACAGTGATAAATTCTTGTTTATCCTCATAAAAAATCCCATCTACCTGTTTTTTTTTACACAACCTCAATCAAATCAACCCAAAAATAAGTCAAAATTGAATTAATTTGCCTAAACAGACAGGTTTTCCTTTTGAATATGTGAAATTTAAAGCATAACAACACACCATCCGTTTTTTTTTTAGTTCAGACCCTCTAAATAATGTCACAAAAATCCAAATATGCATGTGGGATTTGTGGGAAACTAACTATTTTTGGGGGGTGTTTGATGGCCGCCGGTTGTCTGGACGAGCGTGTTCTGGGGGGTGTAATGAGTGCACGGTTTCTAAACATAGCGCCGTGAACTCATTTCATTCTCTGCTCATACAGCAGGATCCCACAGAACGTCCCACTCAGCAGTTTTTTTTTTTTTTTCCCAGAGAGCGGCAGAGGAACCCTATGCCATGTTAAAAAAAAAAAAAAAAAAACGTATGAGGGATGGACTTAACATTTAATCCCTTCTCCCCCCTTAAGAGGCGTTCGAGGCCCTGCTGGATGCGATGGTACTTTTCCATCTCCTCCAGGAGCATCACACTGCTATTCTATCTCTCTCTTTCTCTCTCTCTCTCTTTTTCCCAGCTTGTGTTTATGAACAGGGTGTCTGGTACGTGGAAATGTCTTGTTGTTACTAAAAACAGGATTTGTGCTGGTAAAAAAAAAAAGAAAAAAAAAGACTGCTGTGCATGCAAGGGTGCAAGATCTAGACTTTTAGTTCCCCGCTGTAAAAGGTGAGGGGTTGGCCTTTAAAGAGTTTTAATACTGGTGTGTGTATTCAGAAATTAAAATTCCACCTCATTTGACTTGAATCCTTTGTGTTCTGAGAGCTGTGTGCTATAATTCATGAAGTTCTGAGTTTGTCGTAGCTAAGAGACATGGAAATAAACTGATTTTTCATCATAATCCGCCTGTGAGATGCTCGGTGTGGCAAAAAGAGATAAAAAAAGGGAAAGAAAAATGGACGCACAGTAGAAGAACTGCTCTAAAGTTGAAGGTGAATCCTCAGAGGACGCCGCTTTCCACTTTCTTGCCGCAGTCCTCATTTCCGGGTTCACTGCTCAGGTGATCGCGGGGGGGGGGGGGCGGGGCCATGTGGCTCCCTCTCCACCAGTGAGGGCCGTGCAAAAAAATTCAAATCAGGACTCACGTTAGGAACTCAAAGAGGGGGATCTCGTTAGTTTTTGGGGCCCAGTTTTGAACCGGGGGATTTTTGATTCCGATTCTTTAAGAGGCCTGAAAAGAGCTGAGCAAGAGTCAGGTGAAAGAGGAAGCGGTAGTGAGAGAAAAAAAAAAAGGGGGGGGTTGGGACGAGCCG